GGTCGAGTAGAGGAGGTGTTGTCTTCTTCCTCCTCTTAACATCAGGTGAAGGAAATAGAGCCTGATTCCTCTTGTCAGGACCATCTCTTTTGTTAAGATAACTTGAGGAGATTCTCTTAGCCATGGGTTTCCTGGAGATCGAGGGGGTAGAGACTTGGGATGAGGCGTTGTGTTGCTTCATCTTTTGGACCACGGTCCTCAATGAGAGGGCCATTTGGGTCTCAAAAGTAGCAGGGGCGTCAATATTTCCCCTTAGGAACATCATCGACACGTGAGATTGCGTCCAGTCACGGCCTACAAAAAATAAAAACGACATTAGATTTGGGTATGAGACAAAAGAAAGAAAACTAAGGCAAACCCGAGAGGTGATACTTACTGGTGTGACTTTTTATTATGCGCCTAAAGCACTGGGGCCACCATTTATTGAAGCGGAGACAAGCATCTCTATCTACAAGTTTCATCTTACATTACCTTTGAGCGGTGTGTAGAATGGCTATTTGTAACAGCACGGACTCACCCCACCCCACCGGGGGTCTTTTGTCGGTGCTGGGCGTGCCTCCCCTCACGGGACGGTCGCCAGCTTTTCCACCAGTGGTATGATGGTTATTCCTCACCCCACCCTCACGGGAGTCTTTTGAAACCTTCCCAGACTCGAACCTCCAACCTCTACTACCTTAACGAAGTTAAGGTGAAGTCTGGTACCATTGAGTCACTTAACTCAGTGGTACTAAACTTCGCCTCAACTTTGTTAAGGTGGTAGAGATTGGAGGTTCGAGTCTGGGGAGGTTCCAAAAGACCCTCGTGAGGGTGGGGTGAGGAATAACCATCATACCACTGGTGGGAAAGTTGGCGACCGTCCCGTGAGGGGAGGCACGCCCAACACCGACAAAAGACCCCTGGTGGGGTGGGGTGAGTCCGTGCTGTTACATAAAAGGTGCCTTTTATGTAACAGCCCTCTGGGTCACCACTGCCTCTCCAGGGTCTTTTCCCAGCGCTGGATAACACACATGTCACCACATGATTGCCGACTTTCCCACTGGTGGTACAGTGGTTATTCCTCACCCCACCCTCACGGGGGTCTTTTAGAACCTCCCCAAACTCGAACCTCCAACCTCTATCACCTTAACAAAGTTGAGGCAAAGTCTGGTACCACTGAGTCAACTAAGGTTGGAGGTTCGAGTTTGGGGAGGTTCCAAAAGACCCCCGTGAGAGTAGGGTGAGGAATAACCACTATACCACCAGTGGGAAAGCCGACAATCATGTGGTGACATGTGTGTTGTCCAGCATTGGGAAAAGACCCTGGAGAGGCAGTAGTAACCCAGAGGGCTGTTACACTATTTGGTCGATAGCCTCCCTATCCAACAGCTCCACGCTGATTTGGGGGGACAAGCCCCAAGGGATGCAATGGCTCAGTCCAAACTTGCTCGCTACCAGTTGAGGATGATAAGACTCCAAGTAGACCCTCAAGACTTAGAGGAAGAGCCAGTGTATGACAGCCATATCTTCTTAAGAGTAGTGGCTGAGAGAAAAACCTCATCCCTAAGTTGTTCGGCAAGCTTGTTCTTCCATTCCACTATGTGCTTGTACTAGGTGGAGAGGCAGTGGTTTGAAATATTAAAGGCCTTCAAGGTCTTCCCCAAAGACCAGCTTTGTTGGCTAAAGAACTCAAAGAAGTTCTTTGAGTCGGTCAGTGGATGACCACTCAAGAAACAGGTGAAGGGGTGGTTGGTACGGGAATCATCTAGGAAAGGCTCCCACCGCAAAAGTGGGAAGTAAGCCGTTATCTAAAGCTTTAGAAACTAGAAGTGTCTATGGAAGTTGCTGAAAGGTTTCTTTATCAACAACTCCCTCATGTTGTCATAGAGATGACACAAAAACATCGTCCCCAAGGCTATTTGATTGTCGCAGAGCAGGGACTGAGCGATCCTTAAGTGTAGCTGCACGAGCTTTCCTCCCCTCGGGGCCAAGATCCATTAACTCAATAGGATCCATATAACGACCAAATGCTCCATAGTAGTAACGGGCTCAATACCTGGCTTCTTGAAGAATAATTCCATGATCTTTATTTAGGAGCCTACACTCCTGATCTTGCTCTCCAAGTCAGTTGGGAGGGTGGTATAGGAGTCATACTTTTCAGGGATCGCGTAGAAGTTCTCCTCCTTAGTGATGGGTAGCCCTAGAAACATGGAGACGTCTCATAGCGTGAGGGACATTGGGTTGAGCTCGAAGATGAAGGCGTTACAGCCTGGAGCTCAAAAGCTTAAGAGGGCCGTTAGAAGCTCAACAGGGACATTGACGTCAGCCAAGGATAGCTAGATTAGGTCACACAGACCCATCTCCTTCCATTGAGGTGCATACTCCGACTTCAGACACCTCATCTAGTTGACCCAAGCACAAGGAGATCGGGGCCAATTCTTGAGTTTTCTATAGGACGACTTGAGGAAGGGCAAAGTCGTTTGGGCCAAGATGAAGTTGCAAATGGAGGTCAGTAGCCATGAATTTAGTTGAGTAAGGGCTGTGACTTCAGACAGGATGGGAGAGATTATCAGGTACTTGACGTCGCTCTTGCTGGAGATTTGAGAGCTCCAAGGCAAAGTGTTGGAGAAAAATAAAATACAGTTAACGTACTTTTCTAATAAAACAGAAGGGCTAAACATGAGAAGTGAGAAACTTACCGAAAAGCCACCGATTCGTGGAATGACGAATCCTCTTGTAAAGAAATGAGCAATTATTAGAATGGGGAACCAATCTAAAAGAGAAAAAGGGTTTTCAGACCATTGAACGGGATTCTGGATAGTCATTAGAGAATCAGGTAGACTCCTAGTGGAGGTGGAAGATGAATCAGCGATAGAAGAAGCTACAAAAGCGGAGGAAGCCATTTGAGAGTTAAAGTAAGAGGATTGCAGAAGATTGAATACTTGAAGTCCAAGAAATGGCAGAAAGTGACTAGAAAAAAGAAATGAGTTTATATCAGCAAAGGGCACTCAGAAGCAAAGTGACATTTTAGTTTTTTTTTCAAACGTGCCACATAACTTATGTTACCAGTCATTGGCATGCGGAAGGCATTGTTTAGGCTAAATATATACATCATTTAAATAGGTCATAGGGCTAGTTGGGCTAAGTAATTGAAGTGTCAGGCCTAATATAAATGAAAGGGGCCGGCCTCGAGGCTCAATAAAAGGCCACAATAAGTAAACATGCTAAAATCTCGCCAGCTGCAAATATTAGATTGCTGGCACGAAGACACGATCTTAAGTAATGCTGAAATCTATGCCTAAGTATCTCAATGAAATGGGTTAGTTACCAAAATAGAGAGTATGAAATAAAAACCGTGCCATGAGTTTCGCGAGATGCCTGATTCTTCGGCGAAAAGTGCTAGGTTTCAAGGAGGAGGCTACTGTTACTTTGACACTATGAATAAAAGAAGAAAATACAGAAGAAATTAGTCAATAATCAATTAAAGACTTGCAAATTTTACATCCGTGAGTCCTTTTTAGTTTTCAATTTTAGGTCTATAATATTTTTACATTTCAATAACAATCAAACACTTGTTCTACTAAAGCCTTGTATCTTTTCACATCCGAGTAAATTGTGGTAAGGGAGTTTGAAACCCTTTTGTTATCAATTAAGACTCAGCATTTTTAGCATACCTGGTATTTGTTGTTCACTACGAACAAGATTAAAGGAAACCAATATTTATAATTATAAATTTGAGCTTTAAAATTTTAAATTAATATATGATGTTTTCCTACTACTCTACCTTATTTGTCATCTCTCCCATTTGGGACAGTTACTCCCGATTTTAACTACTAATATAAAAACGAAGAAAAGACTAAAAAATTGTTTTTAGGTTTTGAGTGAAAACATCTTACTCCTTTTAATTAGTTTTCTCACGGAACTCCCCATTCCCCCTGGAGGGCCTGTGCATACATACATATACATATACATATACATATCTATATATATATATATATATATATATGTAGAAAGGACAAGAAAGTTGCTGCATTCGAGAAGGGAGGGACCATGCCCCATTTCACACATTTTTTCTGAACACAAGTATTTATTTATTTATTTATTTATTTTGGTAAACTTGTGAACACAAGTATTTACAGACTCTTCCATGACGGGGAGGGACCATTCATTCATTTTTCTGAATGTTTAAAAGGGGATCAATTTTATCAAGTAATTAGATAAGATTAGAAGCAAATGACTTGGAAATGCGAACATGTTCATGTCCCTCGTTCGTTATCCTATTTGCTTCCTCCTCCTACCTCTAATCAATCTCTTAATACTACTATTCTCTGACAACTAATTCCACATTTAATATTCACACTAATTTCTTTTGGCCAGTGGGATATTAAAACCCAAAATTGATTATCTATTAGCTAGCCACCTCATACAATCCTATTATTGTCACCCTGTCTTCAATCATTAAACTTCAATTTACGAGAATTAAGAAAACTTATCTATCTGTCTAGATCTGGAACTAACACCAGCATTTTCTTTCCAGTTGATTATGTGAAGGTTTATTAATTATTTTTGACAAAGATAAAGCTTCACATTTACGTTTAATCTGTTTGACTTTTTGTTGCACAAGTCACCTTTCATGTAAGTCTTCTCTATCCGAAATACCTCCTCCTTAAACTAATGGGTACGAAAGGAAGAAGCTGCTTTAAAGAAGATATTTGCATTGCACTAATGGTTACTTACTGTGGCTAGAATTTCTGGGAAAGCGGCTGCTTCAAACCCCAAATTGAGTGACTTTTTCTCAGCCATGCCTCTAGGCCTATGCTTTTTGGGAATATGCAGCCGACGTCTCACTAACTTTTTTTTTATTATTTTTAAATTGTAAATTTAAATTGTTAAAATTAAATCTATATTTTTAAAAATTATTAAATCTAAATTACTAAATTTTTTTGATTTACAATAATTCTTTCGTTCTCCTGTTCAGCTACCTACGAGGTTCTGGGTCCCATCCTTTCTGCATTTATTTAGGACCAATCTCTCAACTCGAAACTGTAGTGGTGGGTTATTTCACGGTCACGCCCACGCACTCTTTCACGCGCTCATGGGTCACCTGCTGACTCTGATGTCGCTGCTGCCCTCTCGTCTCTCTCAACCCTTGTTGTTGCAGTTCCGTTGCAGCACCGTCTTATGTTTCTTTGAGAGTTGTTGATTCATCGGGTTTCCGTGTATGGGCTAATATAAGCTTTCTTGCGCTTTGCCTTCAAGTAATTTCTTCTTGTTCAAATTCAACTCAACCATGTTCGTGGGGTTGCCTTTTTGTTCTTTGGGCTTTTGGCCATTTTGGGAGTGCAGCTTCGTGCAATAATGGCTGGTTGGTTCATTTAATGGTTCTTTCCTTTCTTAGTTGTGCTTTATCATCACTATCCTATTGGCTTGCGCCTTTTCTGTGAGCGACTTGAGAAGACAAAGAAATGCTTTGGTTTGTTGCTTTCTTTTTGTTTTGTTTTTATGGGGAAAAAAAACACAAAATTTGCTGCTTTTGGCTGACCCATCTCAGGTTATAGATGGGGAAGCTGGGAACGTGTGGCATTGTTTATGTGAGCCTTCTTAATCTGGTGTTAGTACCACATTTGCTTCTTCGAAATAATTGTTGATTGTTTACCTATTAGTGCTTATAACCTAATAAATTCCTGGAATCAGAACTTTCAGTCATTTTTGCAAAGGTTTGCTTTGAAGAAGCAGGAAGAGATGTGTCTTAATGAACTCGTGACTATTATTAGAGTTTTTGCCTCTAACACGGTTGCATAAAATAGAATTGCAATGACTGAAACTTCAGTGCTCTGTAAATCCTATAACTTGATGTACTATGATTATAACCATGTTCTGAAGAGGAAATTAATTCATAAAATCACAGAAAGACTTGTTAGCTTATATTGCAGTGAAGGCAATTAATTTAAAACTGAGACTAGTAATCTCATATGGCTGCTGCTTTTGCAGATTGCCCCTTGGATTTAAGCACCTCAAACTTTACAATGGCATCCTCTGTCTGCTCTGACCAAGGTGACAGAAATAAATGTTGTCGCTATATTAATGCTAATATTGCTGTTTCTGTTGCTCGATATGCCAATGGAACAGCCAACCTTGGAGTTCCTCCAGATGCTTCTGACTTCTGCCTCCAGACCATAACTGAGACCTTGCAACTTTATGGAGTTCCACCAAATGCAGCTGTTTTCTGTGGTTTTGGGACGAAAGTCCCGGTTAATTATGAGTGTAAAGGTCGAACTACTGTCACACAGATGCTGCAATCTCCCAGATTTGGAGAGGTCACAGAAAATTGCAAATTGCCTCTGTAAAGGAAAGTGATTGCAAGAAATGTTTGAATGCTGCCATTGGTTACCTACATAATATAATAGGTATACAAGATAATATCACCTTAAGTACATGCCGTGATGCCACATTTACTGCATTGGCGAGCCAAGTTGATGATGCGTCTACTATTGAAATTGCAAGCTGTTTCTTTGGGGTTCAAGGACTTCTCGGGCCGACTGGTGAGACTAGTAATAATTTGTGAATTGTTATGATGCCTTTTCTCTTTGGCTTTCTAAGTCTTTGACTGTGTCCGTGTGTTTATGCAAAGGCATGAACAAGCTTGCGCATGAGACTTGTTTGTTACATTCTCACTGACGTGAGATGTGAAGCCAATAAAAGTTGATGATTTGTCTACTTCATTTGTTATAGATTGTTCTCTGTGCCATTGCCTCTTTGGAAAACTGGAATGGTTGTACAAGTTGTGCAATGGGAAAGATATTCTTGTGTTGTTCCAGACTTAAACTATGCTTGGAACATACTGGCAAAGCTAGTTTTACACTTTCATTCAATAATGTATGAAATGACTGCTCTCTAATTTTTTTGATTTTTCCAAGTGAGTAGTCTTTTGCCATGCATATTGCACTCTTTGTATTGTGATCAATATAGTAAAACTTGACTAATCATATTATTGCATCTTTGGTGCTAGCTTCAGAGCCATCTACTTTGCCAACTCCTGAGGCTTCTCCAAGTCCTCCGGCTGCTGAGAGTCCAAGTCCATTGCTGTTAGGTGGACCACTTAAAAGAAATCACCATAGATACCACTTGACATTAATTCCAGGTATTGGTATTGCCGTCACAGCTGTTGCGGTTATGATGCTCATAGTCTTGATTGTTTTAATTCGTCAAAAAAGCAGAGAGCTAGGGGGGCCTGATCATTTAAGTAAAACTTCGTCAAAAGCCTTACCCCCTTGTGCAACATGGATATTTCAGGATGGTATGGTTTTGGCTCTTATTCTTAATTCCATTCTTGGAGATAGCATAAGCATAACAGATCATTAATTTTCATTTGTCTTCACTTCTTTCTTTCCTTTGTATTTGTATGACTTGCTTAGGTCCTTCATCTACATTTCGGAAATTCAACTATAGTGAGATAAAGAAGGCCACAGATAACTTTACCACTGTGATTGGGCAAGGAGGATTTGGAACAGTGTATAAAGCTAATTTTGGTGATGGCTTAGTGATGGCAGTAAAGCGTATGGATAAAGCATCAGAGCAAAGGGGGGATGAGTTCTGCAGAGAAATAGAGCTTCTTGCTCGGCTTCATCACCGCCATCTAGTTGCATTAAGAGGATTTTGCATAAAAAAACATGAGAGGTACTTGTTTGTGTTTGCTTGCATTGTTCCGTCTGACCATCTGTATCTGTGAACCAAAACTTCTGCTTGACTCATGACAGGCTTCTGATGTACGAGTACATGGAAAATGGAAGCCTGAAAGATCATCTTCATTGTACGTCTTATGAGTCTTGATAGCTGTACACATTTTCAAGTACTGTTGTGAGGATATTATTTACTTCTCATGTGCATGTTCATGTGCATTTTTTGTGAGGCTGCGTGCGTGCGTGCGTGCATTTGTTTATTTTTTGATATTTCTATGAAGCATGAGTTTCTAACTTGGTTAGTATCACTGAACAGAGATAAATGAAATAGGTAGTTTCCTCTGAAAACCTAAAGCGTATTTCATCTATATTGTATTGAATCCTCTCATTTTTGTGCAGCCCCTGGGAAAACACCTCTAAGTTGGCGAACTAGAATCCAAATTGCCATTGACGTGGCTAATGCCCTGGTAATTTGTGGAGTATGATACTTTGTGTTTGTTTACTTTTAAAAAAAAAAAAATTCAATTGTTTTATTTTATTTATTTATTTATTTTTTGGTTGCATGTACAGGAGTACCTTCATTTCTATTGCGATCCTCCTCTCTGCCACAGGGACATTAAGTCTAGCAACATCTTACTGGATGAGAAATTTGTTGCAAAGGTTCGGTAACTGTCAGAATCAAATTGCCTGAATGCCTGAAAATTTCTAGTTAAATGTATATCACATGAATATGAATGTTTCATACAGCTCTAAAAATAAAGTGTTTATAAATGCAAAATCTGAACTGCATCATTACTTTGCCCCACAGTTAGCTGATTTTGGCCTGGCACATGCTTCCGAAGATGGTTCTATATGCTTTGAACCAGTAAATACTGATATCCGGGGAACTCCAGGTGTAAAATTCTTTCCATATTAATTTTTCTTCTTCTAATTTTCCAATTTCTTTCTTGGAGCAGGCTAATAATTGTACACGAATCTTCATGGATTTTGCTGAACTCTAGATGTAAAATGCATTCCAGGTTACATGGATCCGGAATATATTGTTACTCAAGAACTCACCGAGAAAAGCGATATTTACAGTTTTGGTGTGCTATTATTAGAGATTATAACTGGAAGACGAGCTATTCAAGATAATAAGAATTTGGTAGAATGGGCACAACCATTCATGGAATCTGAATCAAGATTGATGGAGTTAGTGGATCCCAATGTGAGGGAATCTTTTGATTTGGATCAGCTCCAAACAGTGGTCTCCATAGTAGGATGGTGCACCCAGAGAGAAGGCAAGGCTAGGCCTTCAATAAAACAGGTCCTTAGGCTTCTGTATGAGACTTCAGAGCCAATACACAATGAATTCTTACAAGCTGTTGAAGATGAAGAATATAGGACAAATCACCAAGCAGGCAGAAGAAGCAAGGGAAAATTGCACAGAAATGAACCAAAATTTCACAGTGGGGATGGAAGATATCTAGCTTCTTCTTCAAGCACATCCAGGTCATATTGCAGTAGAAGTTTCTTACTTGAGACAGGATCTCCAGAGTCCCCTCAAAATATTTTTTCAGTTTGAATCATCATTGGCTTCAATCTTCATCAGGCTAACATAGGAAGCACTGGTAACTTCAAAATGGAGCTTTACTGTGTCGCACGCTCGAATGAAACACTGTTCAACTCTTCAAATTGCTTTTCGACTCTACATAGTTTTGTTGTAGCGTTCATTGATATCACATTATTTTGTGTCAATGTTAGACACGGTATGATGCTTTGAATTTCAATTGAACACTACATAATTTTGATAGTATCTTATCACCTGAATCATGTTGTATCTCATATCTAGGTCAAAAAATTGACCATCTTTGACTACAACAGAATTTGGTGGGAAGCTCTCACATACTGACTTTAAATTCAGTGGATGTAATTTAAATGTTGCCCGACCTAGTTGTGAAGACCGGTAGAGCGAGATCATATACAAATACAATTCGCATTACTGTTTATAGAGCATTTGCACACAGATAGTGAGGATCAGAAGAAATGGAAAGGAAAGTGCAGAAACATCAATGATTGTATTCATACGTAAAGTAAACAGAACCTCGCTTGATATTAAGATGATACGTATGTATAGATGTACAAATGACAAAAGGCTACTTTATAGGCATATACCCTGACACGTATAAATGGTTGATCCGTGACAAAGACTAAGAATAAGCAACACGAGGAGAATTTAAAACCAGATTCAGATCCATGCAGGGCCAGGCAACAGAAAACAAGCACGAATCCTGCTAGTCATCTTCACAATACTTGAAAACAAAGAGAAAAAATGAAGCTAAGCATAACAATCTAACCATCCACAGCAACCAGAAACTTCCTCTTGCTTACTGGTTCCTCATGCAGCGCTACCACATCACTCACTTTCTCAAACAATTCCTCTAACTTGCCCACGCCCAATCTCTGGTATTCCAGGGGCTTCTTGTAACGTAGCTGGTAAATGTCATCAAAACAATCTATGAATACTGGACCAGAATAAATTACGAGAATCTCTTGCAACTCATGCTTGAATTGCTCAAGAATTCGGTCATGAATTTCACTTCTGGCTCCTTTCCCTCGGTGATCCTTTTCTATGCTGCTTCTCTTATCATGCTCCTCTGTGACTACTCTTTCTTCACCTATAGAGCAACCAGCACAGGCACTATCCGCATTCTCTTCCTGAATCCCTCTTCCTTTCTCATCATTGTTTGCCTGAGACAAAGGAGGTGGTACATTTGGGCATGCCTTCCAGCTTTGAAGATACACAAATCTCTGGTGTCCTTTCCCTTCCACAGAAAATGGATCGCCCATTTTCTTGAAAAGATTCAATAATTTGCGTGTACCGTATTTAGACACAGAGAGAGGCCTCCCGAAATATTTATGATACTCCGGAAGAACTTGTGCCATAAGCAAACAACCTCCAGAAAGTTCAAGCAACTTTACCAGCTGACACTTGACACCATTCAAATCCCCAGGTTGTACCCATGATGGGCATTCATTTTGGTCAGTAGGAAATGGCATAGATCCTCCTGAAACGTTCAGAGTGGATGGTAGGCTATGTGACCTCAAAGCTGCTGGAAAGAATGACGCGTTCAATGCATCACTTTTGTATTCAGACAGAGATTGTGACACAAATGAGGAGCACTTAGAGTTATGGTAGTTCTGTGAGATCCCTCCATAAAAAATAGCTTCTTCATTTAGTCCATCAAAGTTGCCATTTATGTGGCACCCTATAAGATCTCCAGCAACCTCAGTTGGAACAGCATGAGGTGGAACCAGAGCCTTTAAGGAGGGCACAAAACCTTCTCCACAAGCAATGCTAGGCCAATCCCAAACAAATTTACCAGCACTGCTAAAGGTAGTTGGCATACCAACCTCAGCAGGGACGGCAAGAATGATAGTATATCCCCGTTGACCAAGAACATGAAGTGCAGGAGCAAAATCAATGTCTCCAGATATCAGCATTATAGAAGAAGGTGGTTGGTTGTCAAGGGCAAACAAGAACATGTCAACCAAGATAGCTTTGTCAGCAGCGTTTTTTCTTCCACTGGGAACATCAGTGAGTTTAACACCAGTTCTTTGGCAACCCTCTCTGAGTCGCCTGGGGAAAGTATTGAAATCCCCATAAGCAGAAAACATCACAATAGCCCCTTTAATTATTGGATGCACCCGCAAAGCCATTGTTACATTCCCAGCAACATCTTCAGGGCGCACACCACTTGGAACAGGACAATTTTCAATATCCCAAAGTATAGCGACCGGACCAACCAAGGAACTAGGTTGCTGGTTCAAAGGACATTGAGGCAAGTTTGCATTTGAAACAGTTGTATCTTTGTCCTTCTGCTCTGACAATTCTGAAGACCCTATTGATGTAGATCTATTTGAGGTCCCCATCATTTCACCTCTCAAAAGTTCCTGCACAGAATGTTTCAAAGGAATCATCAAACACAAAATTTCACCATAAATATCTTTACACACACACACACACACACACATCCTTTTGTTGTGATTTGTGAATATGGCAAGGTTACAACCATGGATGCTCTGGCCATAAGCCTACTCATTGTACAAGCAAGGAAAAAGGAAGCGAGACCCAGAGAATGAGGAAGATGAAACTAAAAAGAAAATATTTTTGATGCTCCATCGGAAACTGGTCAAGAGTCAAAGTGCTGCAGAAACAGGACTAACAAATAGTAATTAAAATTTGTAAATTACTACATCAGGGGCCTAGAAAGCTGAAGCAACATTGATCTACATTATAGATTAAATGATCCCAAAAATTTGTAGGGGAACTGTAAGAATGAGATTAAAGATCCAGAATGATGCTAAAAAGGGTAAAGTCCAGACATAAAATAACTCTAAACTTCATCCTTCCCTATAACGATCATCAGTCCAGTCCATCATAACATTTCATAATGAATCACCTCAACTCACCTTGCACCACAGCCAACACGGGCTATCAAAATTTTATATTGACCAAATAACCCCCCCCCCCCAAAAAAAAATCATTTTCATGTGAAAGTTCTAACAACAACGAATTTCAACCAAACATTTTTCAAATTAACGCATATGCTTTGATCCATTTTGGCATGATAAAGCTAAATTAAGCGAAATTGTAACAGGGAATATATATAAATATATATATATATATAATTTTAAAAAAATAGCACGCTTCACTCAAAATTTTCATATTTACAGGATAGGGAGTAGAGTCATCCGCTTTGGCAAATTTTTATTGCATTCTTTGTTATCTTGGGGTTAGATAACAGCGAGTCTTGCGAAGAAAAAGCAAGGAACTCAATACACAGAAGCTCATACGAGTGTCATAATCTAAAAGAAGGGTAGGAGAGATTATTAACAACAAAGTCAAGTAAAACAATTAGTCATGCTGATTGGGGTATCTCCTGAGAAATTGAACAAGCCTCGACAAAATTGGTTTCCCCGACAAGTGAACAGATTGATTGTTAAAATTTGAGTGAACAAGCAAAAGGAAGGGCACCTGTGGAGATTATGCCAAGTTCCACATAAATCCTTCAGACGAAGCTGAAGATCCTGAAGCGGAAGAGGGCCTACTGACCATCCCCTAAAAATCTTTCTATGAGGAATGCATAAAGTCGAATAATTAAAAAAAAAAGGAAAAAAAAAGAAGAAAACTGCTAAATTAGCGAGAGAGAGAGAGAGAGAGAGAGAGAGAGAGAGAGAGGGAGAGGCGGGGGGGGGGGGGGGAGTGGGACAGGAAACAGGAGGACCAAGATTAACGGCGAGTGATTTCTTCTTTTGACAGGAAATGAAAATTCTGTTGGCTAGATTAGATAGTTTGCGGGCATGCAGCCTCAAAATTCATTCAAATTAGAGTGTGTATTTCATTAGAGTTAAATTATATATTAATGTAATTAAATTATAATTCTCATGTCTTTATTTAAAATCCTCATCAAGTTCTTAATATTTAATTAACAATACATTATTAAAATCTCTTCTCTATAAGCTCATTTACTAATTTTAAAGAAATTAATCTAGTTTATACTTTAAATGATTTAATTTATGATTTTATATTTTTAAAATTTACATGATTTTTTTTTTTGCAATAATTTACGTGCTTTTACTTACTTGAATATATGAGTGATGAGTGCTCCTTATTTGTAAACTTCATGTGAATTTCTTTACATAAAACAAATTGAGAAAAGATTTAATGAAAATTAAGGTCGAAAATAGATTTAATGAAAATACTATGGATGGACAATATAAAAGTTGCATGGTAAGACAATATTCGGAGAACAAGTAAAATATTGAAAGAATTTCAATAAACGATTATGAATGCAACTTATCTTCAAATTGTATTCAATAAATTTTGAAATTTTACTACAAGACCATGAAGTTATATGAAAATTATATTTTTCATAACAAATTATTGAAATACTCTTTATTTATTTTTAAAATTATTTTAGTTATTGTTGCCGATGATACACACACACAAAACCCCAAACCACTCTCTTCTCATAATATAAATACAACTTGTTAGAATCTTAAATTCATTTTGTGAGAAAACTAAGTCAACTTTGTTCTAATGTAAACTAAGTTTTCAAATAGAAGACTAAGTGAATAAAAAAAGTTAAGTAATTAACAAGTCCTGTTGAAAAATTGACAAGTAATGTTATACGATTAACAAGTAATGTAATTCGGTTGAGAAGTCATGAATTTAATTAGTAAAGTTAGGTAATTAACATATCCTATTGAGGAATTTACAAATAAAGTTATGTAATTAACAAGTAATGCAATTCGATTGAGGAAATCATGAATTTAACAATTAAAGTTAAGTAATTAACAAATAAAAATTATGTAATTAACAAGTAATGCAATTCAATTAAGAGAATCACGAATTTAACAAGTAATTTAAGTAATTAACAAGTCCTGTTGAAGAATTAACAAGTTATTATATTGATTACTTAACTTTATTTATTAATTCTTTAACAAGACTTACTGCTTATTTAACTTTACTTATTAAAACCATGACCTTTTCAATTGAATTGCATTACTTATTAATCACATAACTTTATTTATTTATTTTTTAATAGAATTTGTTTAATTACTTAACTTTATTTATTCACTTGAATTTTTTTTTTAAAAACTTGGTTTTCTTAAAAATAATAAGTTGAGTTAGTATTTTAACAAGTTATATTTATATTATAAGAGGAGAGTGGTTTGGGGTTTTGTTTGTGTGTGTGTGTGTGTGTGTTGCATCATGTGTGTGTGTGTGTGTGTGTGTGTGTGTGTGTGTGTGTGTGTGTGTGTGTGTGTGTGTGTGTTGCATCATATTTCTATGAAGCTTAGGTGGCTTTGTGGTCATCGGAGTCCCAGTGGCAGTCTAGCTAGTGACGGTGATTAAAATATTTTTAAAAATTAATAAAGGGTATTTCAATAATTTGTTATCAAAACATAATTTCCATTTAATCCCCTAGCCCCATGGTAAAATTTTAGAGTCTATTAGTTATGATTTAAAGATAAGTAACATCTATAGTTTTTATTGAAATTTTTCTTAAAATTTATCCGACTAGAAATTATTTTACTTTTGCTTCTCCTGCCAACATCCAAAAATGGAAAGCCTTTATACTTCTAAAAATAAATGGAGCTGTAAGGACTAAGGATAACATATATGGGAAGTACCTAATTTAACTTCTGTGCATCGTGAAGAAGATTTTTTTTTTTTTTGTGCCAATCCATAGTGGGGAGGAATTGGGATTTTGATTATAATGAAAATAATAATTACAAAAAATAATTCAAACCAAAATATAAAAATCAATCAAGAGAATAAACATACATTGGTCTAGCTTCACATCCACCCTTGAATTATTGAGGGATTCTTGATTCAATTGCTTAAGAAATCCTAAAGTCTCAAGTTTGAGTCCTACAACATAAAATCATATTAAATAAAAATGTTAAGGTCTATCTTCGAAATACCTATTAAACTGTTATTAGTGATAATGGCCCCACATAGTGGGATTTGCTTGAGAAATAACGACTTCTTTTATTTAAATATTACTTCCTTCATGCCTCAATATAAATTACTTTCTAGAAGCACCTCTTAATTTAAATTATAGGACATTGAGTAAATTTTATGTTTCTTTTTTCATTTATACCCTTGCTTTTGTAATTCCTTGTCCTTAAATACTCTTTATTTGAAGATTTTGCACATGTTATTAGGAACTCTTAAAAGGGTATAAATGAAAAAGTATGGATATTTTTAAAAAATTAAATGTGAATTAATTAATGATGATATATACTGTAGTTTGAATGGAGTATTTTTTTATAATCAAATGTGAATATGTTGTATATTTTAATTAAATTATATTATTTTAATCATGATTAATTTATTCTTAGTTGACCCTTAGTTGAAACCAACTCTTGATTATTGTTTCGACTTATTCATGTCCAATTTTTAATACTTTGATTTGGATCCTATTCAAGTTACAAGCATGTAAACATCCGATCACAACACAGCTTGAATGCGTAGCAGCTCTTTGTTTACGGAATGGCTCTTTCACTCGCAACTACGAAACTCACTCTCCAATCTAAGCATCCTCAGTTTGTAAAAGAAGATGAGTTACTGGATCAAAGCTTTAAGAAGATAAAGAATGCAATAGGCATGGACATCCTCCAAGGGCATTGGCTTAAGCTAAATGCAAAAGGAGAGAAGAAAATGAAAGGAACTATTAGGAAGGCAACCTTTATAGAAAAACTAAAAGGTAGCAACAGAGAGGATTACTCATCTGATGAAGAGTCGGAGAAGGCTGACATAGAATGCTCTGATGATGAATAGATGGCTATATCTAAGGCGGAAGATAACGAGCCACTGTTTGATACCATTGAAGATCCAAAAAGAAATTTCCAACCTTTGTATTCTCTTCATTAGTTAAGAAGAGGCTATACAGAGCTTGGAAAAATAAGAGCTGTAATAGTTAAATTGTTGGATAGAATAATTGGTTTTAAGACGCTGGAAACAAGACTGCAAGCTATGTGGGCAAAGAAAGGGGTAATCAGACTAATAAATGTCGGCCATGGTTCCTTTGTTGTTAAGCTGTCCAACAAGGAGGATTATTTCATGGCTCTAACTGGAGGTCCTTCGATGATATACAACCATTATCTAACAGTAAGACTATGGGAGCCTAAATTTAAACCTTAAAGTGCTATCATTAATAAGGTGGCGTGTTGGGTGCAAGTACCAAAGGTGTTCTTAGAATATTATGACAATGAAGCCCTGACTCATATGGGAAACAGAATCAATAAGACAATCAAAGTGGATATTCATACTTCTTGCCAACTTAGGGGGTCACTTTGCCAGAATTTATGTTAGTTGATCTAACCAAGCAACTTATGTCTGGTTTTAGATTAGATAATGAAGATTATTATTTAGACTATGAAGGGTTACATATGTTGTGCACTATCTGTGGGGTTTATGATCACAAACATGATGTTTGTCCTTCAAAGCAAGTCCAAAATCCCCATGTAGAAAAAATAGAGCATGATGGGGCTGCGACTAGGCAAGCAACCGAAGAGATGAATCAACGAGGCTCAACTGCAAAGCGATGGTCAGTAGTGCAAAAACCTTGACATAGAGAAAAAGTAAAGAGAAAATGGTTGATTCACGATGTCGAGGTCCTTCTAGTTCTCGCTTTAGGGTTCTAGTCGATGAAGGTGGTTTGCATGAAGAGGAGGATGTTGACACGGTATGTTTCATGCAGGAGGAAACACGTTCTGACAATGAGGGCCCATCACGTAGATACAAATAAAAGAAGGACAAAAAAGCAAATAAAAGCAAGAGTATTAAGGAGGATATCAATTTAGAGATTATCATTGGGCATACTGCTGCTGTACAGCAAATGGCATCCCGAGTTGATCAAAATGAGAAAAGGCAGTAGTTAAAGGACTTGGTATGGTAGGCGTTGTGCAAATAAAAAGAGCAAATCGATAGCGCACGATAGGGTAAAAGGAGGGCAAAATAGCAAACAAGAGAAATGGTTGGGCAATATATAAGTAATAATGAAGTTTTAATGCTTATATAGGAGGATATCAATGGTGCTTTCTCCAAAGCAACTGCTGCTGATGGGGACCACTCTAAGTAAAATTCAGATGATATGGTTATCTGCCCTTATTAATCTAGAGAATACTTTTAAAGAGAACTTGGATACAGGGGAACGTAATCGGCCTTCTCGTCTCAGCCCATTACCGAGCAACTTATCTTTGGACTCGATGGTGCCTGAAACCCAATTGACTACTGGGCTTTAAGCGTGCCTTTCATCCTCCTTTGATCTAGTTTTATGATGATTAATAATTTTTTTAGTAGAACTCTAGGGGTTCTTATGGTTCTGGACTCCTTAGAATTCTAAAAGCTGTCTTACTAGCACCAAGACCCATTATTTTGCCTTCATTTGACACACGTTGCAATAAGGAATCTCGCATGCGTTGTCTTCACTCTCTAAGCTTTGACTCCATTAAAATTATCCCTAGTGAGGGAAGATCAGGCAATTTAGTTCTTGCTTAGAATGCTATATCTACCCAAATTCGATTCATAGATAGGGGCAGGCAATTTTTCCATTTTAAATGTAAGTTGATTGATCCCCCCTTCACTGCAACAGTGGTATATGCCTTCCTTTACTCTGGTTTTCGGGAGATATTATAAGAAAAGTTGATTGCCTTTTGTCTTTCAATTTCAGAGCCATGGATTGTTTAGGGAGATTTTAATGACATTATTTCCCTATCCAAACACATTGATGGGAGATCTAACAACCTGTCTCACGTCAGATGGTTCTAGGATAGAGTGAATGAATGCAGTTTACTAGATTTGGGTTTCTCTAGGTCAAAATTCACCAGGAAGGGCCCAAGGTTACATGGATGCACTCGTTTGTTTGATTTCCTGGTTGTACAGTTAAGGTACTCCCCAGAACAAACTTGTCTAATCATAATCCTCTTTCTATCTTTATTATCACTACATTTAATATTAGATTTAGTCCCAAGCCTTTTCGCTTTGAGGCTATGTGGCTTTCTTATGAAAATTTTAAGGATTTTCTTAAAGACCATTAGTGTTCTGTTAATGGATCGGAAAATAATTTAGCTCATTTTCGCAATTCGGTTCAAGTTTGGAATAAGGAGGTTTTTGGCATGGTAGAAAAAAGGAAAAAGAATATTTTAGCTAGACTTAGTTGTATTCAAAAGTCCCTTGCATACCCCCTATTCTAGATTCCTTTACAATTTAAAAAGATCTTTGTCTCTAAAATTAGAGGAAATTTTTAAGCTTAAAGAGACTAAGTGGTTTCAAAAAGCTCGTACTAAATGGTTCAATAGTGGTGATAGAAACACTAGATATTTTCACTTAAAAACAACAATAAGAAGAAGGAGAAATAAAGTGTTATCTCTTAAAGGTGACTCTAGGATTATTATTGATGATGAGAAGGAACTTCAAAATCTTGTTACTCAATTTTTTTAAAAAAAAATCCATAGTAATAAGGACATTGGTAAAGTTTGATTATCTACCTCAATGTCATTTTCCTCTGTTAACCAGAATTATTATGATAGTTTGGCTATAGTTCCTTCTAAATAACATATTAGGAAAGCAATTTTCTTAGTAGACCCTTATAAAGCCCCAGGTTGTGATGGATTTTCCCCTATCTTCTTTTGTGCCAATTGGGATATCATAAGGATTTCTTTTGCCATTTCATTACGAATTTCTTTAAAGGAAATGTTTATGTGGATAAAGCTAACAAGACCTTTATCTCTCTGATTCTGAAAAGAGACAAATTGGATCTAGTTGACCACTTTTGACTAATATCTCTCTACTAAGTACACTATAAATGCATCACGAAAATTCTCAAAGGTTGAAAAGTTGTCTAGATACCATTATATCTCCTTTTCAAGCCCACTTTGTTCCTAATCATCAAATCCAAGACAACATCATAATTGGGCAAGAAATCATGCTTATCATGAAGAAGGCAAAGCAGCAAACAGGTTTCTTTGCTATGAAGATTGACCTAGAAAAAGCTTATAATCATATAAGGTCGGATTTACTTCAACAAGTCTTAACAAAGGCTAGTATGAATTTTAAATTTGTTTCACTAATTATGAGATGCATTACAACTATTTCTTATAATGTAATCTGGAATGGGTCGTAGATTGAATTTTTTTCTCCCTAAAGAGGTCTTCAACAAGAAGACCCAATTTCACCCTTTCTTTTTGTTGTGTGTATGGATAGGCTCTCCCATCTTATTTGTGATGCAGTGAATTTAGGACTATGGCTACCTATTCATGTTACTAAGCAAGGGCCCTCAATTTCACATTTAATGTTTGTAGACAATCTTCTCCTTTATAGAGAAGAGACTGAGAAGCAAGCTATGGTTATGATGAATTGTCTTAATGACTTTTGTTCTGCTTCGGGCGAGAAAGTGAACAAATCAAATTCTTCACTTTTCTTCTCAAAAAATGTGAGCCTAAAGGTGAAAGGAAAAATTAAGAGGATTGCTTGTATGAAAGTTTCTATTGGGATAGGCAGATATCTTGGGTTCCCTCTTGACTGAAGATTAACATATAAATTTTGTTATATCGTTGATAAGGTCAGAGACAAATTAGAAGGGTGGAAGTCTAACCATCTTTCTGCTACTGGGAGAGTAGTACTTGCCAAGTTCGTTTTGAGCATGATCCCTCTTTATTCCATGCATGTTGCTAAAATTCCAGTCTCAATTTGTAATGAAATTGAAAAAATCCAGAGAAATTTCATTTGGGGAAGTTCCAGCTCACAAGGTTTCCATCCTCTTAGCTAGAGTAAGGTTCCATTGCCAAAAAAACTGTAGTGGGCTTGGTTTTAAATGACTTTCTTCAGTCAGTAAAGCTTGTGGTACTAAACTTGCTTGGAGCCTAATCTATGGACCGAGCGATTCATAGGCTGATTTGTTACCAAGAAAAAAAAAAACATGTATAGATCTAATGAAGATCTGTCGAATATTAAAAAAGGGGGGAGGGGGGATTCACAGTTATGGAAATTCATCTGCTAGCATAAAGATTTTGTGGAAGAAGAAACTAGATGGAAGCTTAGAAATGGTTGTGATATTATGTTATGGAAAGGAACGCCCAATGGCTTCTTTACTGTTAAGAGTGCTTACATCATGATTGAAAAACCACCAGCTGATTTGTTTGATCCTTTATTTAAGTTAATATGGAAATGGAAAGGAATAGAGCGCATTCGCTTCTTATTTGGCTTACATATCATAATAAGCTCCCTACTAACAGCTGGAGAAGTTCCTAGGCTGGTTCCCCTGCTTTGTGCTTTTGGTGTGAAGAAGAGTAGGATGTGTTACATATCATTAGAGACTATGTGTATGCTTGACAAATTTGGTGTAGATTATTGCCGCTAAGACATTACCAGATTTTCTTTTCTTTAGAATTAAAAGAGTAGGTGGAGCAAAACTTGAAGCCTAACTCTTTCTCCAATGTAACTGCTAATTGGAACCTGATATGGGGTGTCACGATATCGAAGCTTTAGAAATGGAGGAATTGCTCTATTTTCCAACCAGATTTCCACAAACCGAATGACCCTTGTGCAGTAATTCTCCATACTTGAAAATCTTTTTGTCATGCATGAGGAAGTTTTTTTGACTGAGAATGATGTTACTGATACAAAACTGCTCTGGAAACCTCCTCCACAAGGGTGGGTAAAATTTAATACTAATAGAGCTGGTGAAATGAACACAAGCAAAGCTGGCTGTGGGGGGTTCTAAAAGATGACAAAGGAAATTGGATAGTGTGTTTTTCCATTTCCATCGACAATTGTAGCCCTCTTGAAGCAGAGGAATGGGCAGTCTTTAAAAGTTTTTAGATGGCATGGGATATGGGGCTCAGAAAGGTAATCATTGAATCTGATTTGAAGAACTTGGCGGATCTCATGAATGGTCCTCACAAGAATCAATACAAAGGTAGTTTGGTTTTCTTGGAAGCCCAAAAATTTCTTCATTACAACAGGGAAGCGCTAGTGACTTTTCTTCCTGGGGAGCAAAATATGGTGGCAAATTTGATGGCAAAAAAAGGGACCTTTACATCATCCTTTTTTGATTCCGCCCCCCCCCCCCCCCCCCCGCCCAACAAAATTCTTGAGGGATCTAGTGCTGAAAGAAACCTTGGGATTTCAATCCCCTCCTTATGTTTAACCTTGCACTGTAACTGGGCTTAGCCCTCTTCCATAACCACAAAAAAAAAAAAAAAAGTCACACACATATACATAAAATAAATGAATGACATAAAATGGATCGTTTTCAATTTTTACCAAACCCAGCAAGGACGACAGCAACTGATATAAAAGAGGACCGTTTTCAATGAAGTTGAGCGTAACGACATGGGAGATCAGCACTGGCTTTCTGTAAGAACAAGGGCTTTTTTTTTTTTTTCCTTCTTAAAAAAAAGAAAAGTAAGAACAAGTATTCAAATTCAGGGGAGCAAACTGAAGAACAACAATCAAGTTCAAAAGCAAACACTACTGAAGTTGAATGCAATACTACGAAGGAGATTATGGGAATAGGTGTTTCACAAGCCCCTCGGGAAGCAAGTTTGCACTATATGTACAAGGGCCACAGTGAAGTTTTGTAATTCAATAAACCGAACCAAAAATTTCTACGTGGTGCAAGAACACGCATTATTACAGTTTACAGGGAACCCGTCAGCAGCACAGAACCATGTTTAGGGCTTGAGCAATCTCTCAATGGCAGCCACATAAAACTCCTTGGGCATGGTGCCAATTACAGTGTCACATTTCTGGCCATTCTTAAACAACAGAACCACTGGTACAGCCTTAATTTCATAGTTCTCAGCAAGTTCCAAATCACTGTCTGTGTTGAGGACATAACATTTCAATCTCCCAGTATATTCCGTCGCAATCTCATCAATTAGCCGGTGAACCATCCTGCACGGGCCGCACCAACTTGCATAGAATTCAACAAGGACAGGGGTTTCACTGTTCAAAATCAAAGTCTCCCACAATTCTTTGGTAATTGGTTTTGCTGCCACAAACACAACATCATGCGGTTAGAAGACCATCCAACAATTCAAGTCACACATACAATGATATCACGAGGCATCCTTCAACTTTGACTACCCTGAGCACAAGAATTTTGAATTAGAACTAATGTACGGGTAAAGCTGCTACATGACCCAAAACGAACCCATTGAAAATAGTTCAGCCACTTGATATCAATAAAGATGGGGTGGGTTTGGGGGGGACAATTGACGTGTGGTTGTGTCTCTCAATATATTGATCTCTTCATATGACGAAGCTTAATTATAATTCGTCGAAGGGGTTTTAAACTCCTAAAGCAAAGGGCAAGGGAGATTGGCAAGAAAACTACTGGAGATAAATCAGAGAAGTTTCACATGGGAAGCAGAATGAGAAATGAAAATTCAAGTAGATCCAAATGAATAGAAGACAACATATGAGAAAATGGTTGACAGACAACTTGTTCAAGCACTGGGAACATAAAGCAAAACAATCATCCTTTGTGTTCCTTTTCTTGCTGTATCCCGATATCTTTATGTTGGCTTTGGTTATTTACTATGCACCTTATAATTGTATGACTTTGTCACAATGGGAAAGATCAAATAACAGAATTGCAGTGTAAAATGTGAAGGGCAATCTTATTATCTGAAATAAGAAAAAGCACGACAGAAGCAGTGCAGAAGGAGGATAATATCAGAAATGAGGTCCAGAGGGAAAAGATAACTGCCAGAAGGAAAACGCTCAAGACAAATTACACAATGAGTATTCTCACAGACCCTTTATTCCTTTTCATAACTAACCCTTCACGCAAAACCTTCCTACCCTTTCATCAACTTCCACATGACTTTCCGTGTGCGATTGCTTCTGCACGATACATTTGGTTCCACGTTGCCACTCACATGTGAAGATACCTCATCATCCATCTGCTGAGGTGTGACAGACTTTTTATCTTTTTAACATATAATTGACCTTTTTATTTAAAAAAAAAGCAAAATAATCATCTTTAGCAAGAGAAATTAAATCAGCAAGTCAACAACTCAAAACAAGAACTGTTACAGTAAACATGTATAAATCATTCAACTTCCTAATAACCAAATAAGAAAAGCACAGATAGATCAGAACGATATTTGGGTCTATAAAGAACCTGATTTTATAATTTTTTAAAAAATCATCCTAAATTCATGATGATGGGTATCGTAATGGTTTTGGAAAATATAACTAAGATAACAATCTACACATTATATGCTACTCCTTCCATCTCCGTGTATGTTGTTCTGCACAACAATGAATAAAAAGGGACCAACTCTCCTTTCCCTCACCCTCAAAAGATCAACTTTTCTCCAACTGCTGCATCCACAATATATGTGAACACATGAAGTTTTTAAAAGCTTGTTTTCTCATGACTTGAGAATGAAAAGTTTAAAGAAGCATAAAACAAAACGTTTTTTTTTTTTAACCCAAAAAAAATACTCCAGATTTTTTAAAATAAGAGATTTGAGCTCTTTTCCAACTTTGAGACAAACTTTTGAAGTTACGTTATGTTCCGATTTGTAATCTCTCCACAGTCCTCAGAAACTTGAATAAGTTCACAAGTAGCATCATCCGACAGAACACCAGAACCAAGATCCAAGATCAGCGCAGACAAATTCAATTCTTTATGAACAATTGTTACCGTCAAACGCCACCAATTTTGGAATTTCACATCATGAAAGCAATATTTATTGAATGTGCTCTATAGGCCAAATGCTAATGCAGTCAGTTGCCCCTATAACGTCTAACCAAATATAAAAGTATGAATCTCCCCTTCCAAAGTGTTAAATAAATTTGCAGTGATCCTGGCCGCATCTCAGCTAGTGTGTCCAAAAATTAATAACTCCATTCTGAAGTTTCCAAAGCATTGTTACATGTATCCCCTTTTTCATCTTAATCGAGATATTTCAAACGCAGCAACAGATAATTTTCAACGAGGAGAAAGGAAGAAAGAGGTATGGAGCCGATCCTATTAATTACGTCGTATCTACTATTTTAAATCTATTTTTTCCCAAATTATTAACGATTCAGTATTTTAGTCCCTCCTAAGCAAAAACAGTTGACTAAAGCTGAAACATCATTGCAGCTAAAATTCCGAAATAGATTAAAAAAATCAGACACGATGAAGAAATTACCTTTAGTTTCTCGTACGCATTGAATCCTGGGGAGAAGATATGGATTTTGACATTTAAGAGCCTTGTGGATCCGCAAAGAAGAAGGAAATGAGGCGGCTAGAATAGGGTTAAACAAGCGAAGAGAGGCATAAACAGGGAAAATGGGATTGTGAAGGGTTCGATAACCCGTCAAAGAAAAAGGGATAGGCGCAGTAGAATAGAAAGTATAAGGCGCCATGAGGGGAAGAAGAGTGAAATTGAATGCGAAATGAAGATGTTTCTGCCTTCAGGTAGGAGCACCAAATAGCGTTTCGTTCGCAACGAGGGAATGAATACGACGAAGAGAAAAATGGGTCCACTGGAATCATATAGACTTGTAACGCGGGGAGAAAAATGAACTAGTGGGCATGTTGAAATATCAGTCTCATACATGCAAGGTCTATAACAGGTGGATTTCATCACTTCACCTGTATTTATCCCATTCGATTTTTGCCTACTGAAATACATGTACTTTGGGTCTTTGACGTAGTGGAAATAAAAATAAAATGGAAGAATTATAATCAAGCCTTACATAAAAAAATTAATTACTATAAAATTTATTAATAAATAAACTAAACTGCATTAATAATTTAAATTACAATCAGATCTTACACAAAAAAAAATTAATTCTTACAAGGTTCATTAATAATTGAACTCAACTGCACTGACAACTGAAACTGTCGAATTGTCAATGCAGTTTAATTTAATTGTTAATGAACTTTATGTCAGTGCAATTTAATTTAATTATTAATGAACTTAATAGTAATTAATTTTTTTTTGTGGGATCTACTTGTAATCTACCATTTTATTTTCATTTCCATGACATCAAAGTACATATATTTCATTAGGCAAAAATTGAATGTATTGTTAATACAGTTTAGTTCAGTTGTTAATATATTTTATAATATTAATTTCTTTATGTGGAACTTTAATGAAATTCTCCCAAATAAAATTGAACAATAAGCATTTACTTTTAGTCCAAAATATAAACAATCTATTACATATAAATTTTTTTCCATTTTACTCATTATATTTATTAACTTAGATTTTTATATAAAGTTATTTCTCATTCATCTTGAAGTGTATTGATAATTAAGATTAAAGAAAAAAAGAAAAAAATAATATACTCTTCTAGTCCACAATATAAGTAATTTTTGGAAAAAATTCACATATCAATAAAGTTCTCATTCTCATAAAAATATACTCTGTTTTTCTTTATATATGAGGTATTTTTAATTGAATTGTACATATAAATAAAAGTTTGTTGTCTAATTGAAATATCATTAAATCATAGTAATTGTTTAATTTTACTTATAATAATGTCAATTAATATCATGGTGGTGGTAGGTAAAACATATTATTAATATATCTTCTCTTTATTTAAGACAAGGACACAATTATTTAATTATTTAAAAATATCATGAGTCTTTTATTTAAGAACAAAATAAGTTTATAAAAAATATCCTACATATAGACATGAAGGGAGTATATCATTTTTTTTTGGTTTACTTCTAATCTCAATTACCAATTCACTACATGATAAGTAAAAGATCTAGATTAAAGGGGTAAAATGGGAAAAAAATTTACATATACTAAATTGCTTATATTTTTAATCAAGATTAATTAATTGAAAATACTTGTATTTAAGACTAAAGAAAGTATTATTTTTATGATGATGAGAATTTTATTAGTATGCATTTAAAAAAAAAAAACTACTTATATTGTGGACAAAGGGAGTACGTCATTATGTTTATTTTTTATTTATTGTGAAATTATTGAAAGAACTTTCTCTAATTTTATTTATAAGCACTTTTTATAAGTAATTTTTATTTTAAAATATATGACACCTTGTAATAATTAAATTATATTTTTAATTTTATCCATTTTTAGTTAGTATAAAGGTATTTAATATAATTTTATTATTATTTAAAATTAAGAGTAAAATAAAATACATCTTATTTTTTTATAATACAAAAAAATTAATTTTTTTAAAAAATGCACGAAATGATAAACTATAACAAGGACATGGAAAGTAAAATGTCAGAATTTTTCAAAACAAAAAGTTAAATGGCAAACACGTTTGCACGCCCGGTGGGACTCGAACCCACAATCGCCTGATTAGAAGTCAGGCGCCTTATCCATTAGGCCACGAGCGCCGATGAGACCCGTTTGCATTTAAAGTAATATATACCTATGACATTGATCAAAATCACGGAACTCACTCCACGAAAAGATCCATTATCCGCGTCAATCCTGTTAATGAATATTTAGCATATAAGCCACAAGATTGTGGGCTTGCTATCAATGTAAAGATATATTGGTGAGTAATATATAAACTCTCTTTAAACCTAAATGCATGTTATGATTTGGTAAGGTGTGGAACTCAATTCAGTTAAATTTTTTTATAAAAAAAGTTGAATATCTAATGTAGAATTTATCCTTTGCATTTTTTAAATAAAAGGGCGTAATGATTTTTTTTTTTTTAATCTCATCATATGGCTGTAAACTTAATGGAGCTGTTGACAAGAGATTGATGGTGCAGGCTTGCACGGATCAACTAAATAAAGATGAGGATTCAGTCGGCCAATATTTTATTAATGTTCATTGAACCATCCTTTTGATTAACAAATATGCACTATCGGGTCAACTACTTGCATTTTAGTCCTTAACAATGCCCTGTACACTAAACGTATCTTATTGAGTTTTAAATGATTATATTTAGACATTCCGTGAGTAATTTGTTCGCTCATATAAAAATAATATCAAACTTGATGATTTAGATCATATATTTTGACAACCTGACATGCTTGTGAGTTTTTAAGAAAATGATTGATCTCGTGCATTTTCATATAATTTGAGATGAATTATGTTATTAATTATTTTAAACTGTGCATCTCTCTTTATATATATTTTATTCCTTTACGAATCTGGCAATGTATGATATAACAAGGTTTTCGTGCTATTATAGTATTAATTAATTTTATTCAAATGCTACCTTATTACTATCATATAACTAAATATCGAATATCGGCTGGCAATATATATATATATATATATAAAATTTTTCAATCAGTCTAAACAAAAAAATGCAATGCAATTTTAACATTGACTTGTCCGCAATCTCTTCATGTAAGATGGAAGATAAAATCACCCTCAAGATTCTTCCCTTCCTTTATGCGACAGATTATTTGACTAGACGCAGTTTCTTACTTACTTTTTAATTAAGAAATCAGGTTATGAGGATTAATTAATAAAAGGTAAATTTTCAAAGACAACAAAGGCACCGTCACACCACTAGCCATCAACACGACAACACCACCTCATCACCATCAAAACGCAAGAACCAATAAAGTGCGAGGAAGACAAGCCCGCTATTGTAGAATTAACAATTCTTCATACAATCTCTCTCCCGCATAGATCTCCAACGGTTTTGGAAGGCGCCGCCGTTAAGACATGTCCAAGCCTCCCCACGCGCCGCCGCATCAACTCTACAAGCAGCAGTCTTGGTCTCCTGACGTTCTCCGGGAGGAGGCGTGGGAAAGGCGAAAGGTCAACAAGGTTACCGGCGGCCGTCACCGTCCCTCCAAGAGCCTTTCCGAGGATGATTTACAAGAACTGAAAGCCTGCATCGAGCTCGGATTCGGGTTCGATTCGCCCGAACTCGACCCGAAGCTGTCCAGTACGATCCCAGCTTTGGAGTTCTACCATGCTGTTAACAAACAGTACAATCACAGCCTATCGAGGTCGTCGTCTTCATCGTCGCTGGCTGTCGACGGTGACGCTGGAAGTTCCGGCACCCTGATTGATCCAGGTAATTGTTATTCTTTTTGAGTTTTTATCTGCTGTAGTTAATTTCTGCACATGTGACGGTTGAATTGAACTCAATGAAGGCGATGATTTGAGTGCGAGGAAGACAAAATTGAGGCAATGGGCCCAGGTGGTTGCTTGTGCGGTGCGGCAATCATCATCAAGCTGTCACAATTAGGGACCGCGTTGACCCTAATGATCAATTAAGGTGTATTAATGCATGTATCTCGAAAGAATACTCCTAACAAAATACCAAAGGTTTCATGTATAGTTTGTTTGGTATCTAGGTTGTATATATACGTAATATATGCACAGTAATTCGAGAAAGTCAATGAGGAATTTCAATACCTTTATATTTGTTTCTTTATATGACTGAGTTGACTTATGTATATAAGTATTAGCTATGATGAATTCGATGCGTATCTATTGGTTTTGGTTTAATACTGATTGGGAGCTGTCTATTGAGTAAAATATCTAATTTAATGGATCGTGTTGGAAAAGTTTTTTCTATTTTTTTCTGTGGAGATTGCGAGATTTTGTACTGATTATGTATATTCGACAAGAGTGTGGGTTGGTGATAGACCGAATTACCGATAGAAAAATTGTCATGGATGATGACGGCGTAGAGGGCGAGGCACATAAAGGGTACATTTTGTAGGAACTTACCCTTATTAAAAGCAGATAACTTCACTTTCCTCGATGTGCGACTTTGTCTCACTGGATCAATAGGCCACTTGCAAATATACATGTAAATTAAATATGAAACCTTCAGATGTAAAAATTTATAATGTGGTTGGTAATGGAGGGAGTTGAGAGGATGAGACTTGAAGGGGTTGTGTTTGGGGTAGGGGATTTAGCTCCAATCTGGACTTATGTGGAGTCTGAATCTGCAGAATTTGGACAGATTCGTGTGGAAAGTGATTCAAGCATGGTTGAGAGGGACCTCATTCTCGTTCACTAAGCGAGATGGAATTTTTATGCGGATTGACTGGCAGCCTCTTCTGACTTGGGCATAGAGAGCATGAACTTTTAAAGGATGTGTGTCGAGATGGTTGGATTCTTCAACCTCCACTTCTCTTTTCATCCATTTTGTCTTCTGACTTGGGCATAGAGAGTATGAACTTTCAGCAGCCAGTGACCAACAGGGACTGGGAAGGCATTGGTTATTGTCTTTGTATGCCTTGTTTGTTTTCAAGTCTTTGCCTTTTGGCGTATGACTCATGCTTTTTATCTTGTGTCTGTGAACTCAGGTTTCTCCCTGTCTTCAATGATATTCTCAGTTTTCCTGTTGGTCAACAACAAAAAATGAAAAAAATGGTTGAGAGGGACAGTACCGTGCAACCAGACATTTTCTGAAAGATTGTATATTGAACAGGAGTAGGGTGCCCCTAGTGACATGAACTTTCTTTTATCCTTAATATAAGATACATTGTGAAAGTTTTTTATCTCTTAATATAAGATAAAGTTGAAGTAATTAATTTTCTTTTCCATTGTTATCCTTTTATTTATTTATTTATCATGGTTTGAATTCATATTTCATAGAGAGTAAATGTATTATGTTTATTAATGAGTGTGAAGTTTATTATATTAAGTTTGCCTTAAGATTTTAAAGAGTATCAAACACCGTGCCTTGTTGCTAACCCGCGGATTTTACTTGTTCACGCTTTAATATTTCAACTAAACGTGGCACTTCATCATTTATTAAGTGTTAATTTTAACATAAAAGCTAGTCATCATGTGCGGCTTCATTAATTTGCCCCTTCTGCATTAAGGAGGGAGCATTATCCGGTTCTAAGAATATATTAGTAAGGAAACAAGTCTAGGATAATTTATAAAATACTCTTTCTGTCTTAAATTATAAGATACTTTTAAACAAAATCTCATGTACTAATAAATTTCATTAAATACACTTAACAATTTTATCTTTTCAAAACAAAAACTATAAATTTTTAAAAATACCCATCATTGAATATATTAAAAATAGAAGAGACGGAAATTAGTTATAAAGAGAAAAAGGGTAATATTAAAATTCATGCATTTAATTAAACATTAATCTACCTAAAATATTTTATATTTTGGGATGAAAAAACTCTTTCAAAAGTACCCTATAATTTAGGATGGAAGGAGTACTCCATCCATTTTTAAATGTAAACAAAAGATAAGGGAAAATTTCATTTAAAGATCAAGGGTAGTCAACTATCAATTATCTCAATGACAACATCACTTTCCTTTCTTAGAAAAGGTCTTAGGCTTGAATCTAGCATTGACATAGTTAACGTGCATGCATGAGTGCATGTATTTCTTTTCTTTATAGGGAAGGGTAGGTTGGAGTTGAATTTTCTCCTCTCCAAAGGGGAGTAAAGGAGAAACTACTATACATGTGGATTGTTAAATTAAATTTGAAAAAGTTAGATTCAATAATTTTTAAAAGTATGGATTTAATATAAACGATTCATATTTGTAATGGAAAGGTAGTGAAGAAAAGGGATAAGTTGGGGGTGGATTCTTTTTTTAAAAAAGGACTAGGGATATGACTTATTCACAAATCAGATCCAATAAAATATGAAATTATACTACAAAACCAAAAGACTAAATTGAAGTTAATTTTTATAAAAAATGACCAAAATGCCCTTCATCTATTTAAAAAGAAGAAAAATAAAACACACTAACCACCATATTAGAGCTTTGATTGAACCATCGCCAATGGTAATTGCAGGATTATGGAGAAATAAATTCTCTAAAGGTGGCCCGGGGGAATTTGAAAATATGACCCCTTAACTTACCAAAAAATGAAGGACCACCAAGTCATTAAACTTCTTTAATCATATAATGCATATAATATATATACATATATATACATATATATATATTAAAACTTGTTTCCCAATATCTCTTGATTATTACATTATTTGTTAAGCAATTGATAAATTATGTTAAGAAATTAACAAGTAAAATTATATTTTAATAAGTAATACAGTTTAATTGAGAGAATCACAGATTTAACAAGTAAAGTTAAATAGTTAACAAATTCTATTAAAAAATTAATAAATAAAATACACTATTAACAAGCAATGTAATTCAATTGAGGGAATTATGGATTTAACAAATAAAGTTAAGTAATTAATAAGTCTTGCTAGGAAATTAATAAATAAAGTTACGTAATTAATAAGTAATATAATAATTATGATGTATTTGGAAATAAAGTTTAATATATAAGTGTGCGTGCATGCATTATATGATTAAAGAGGTTTAATGGTCTTGTGGGATTTAATTTTCTAGCAAGCTAAGGGTTATGAGTTCAAACTGTTTGGCTACTTTTAAAGAATTTAATTCTTTATAATTGTCTAGCCATTGTTAGCGGTGGTCCGACTGGTGGCCAGGGCAACAGCCGTTGCAAGCGAGGCTTCAATTGCCATTGGTAGTGGCCAATGATATTTTTTCTTTTCTTTTTTGAAAAAAATAAATGAAGAATGTTTTGATTATTTGTTATAAAAAATAATTCCAATTTTGTCTTTTAATCCAACAATGCGATTTCATATTCTGTTGAGTTTGATTTGCAAATGAGTCATATCCTTATCCTTAAATGAAATTCTTTCAAAAAATAATTAACTCACTTAGTTTACAAAGGCTGGCTAAATATAATAATTATGTCTAAAATAAAAAAAATTAAATTAAATTATCCCTGTCATCACTGAAATAAATTTATCATATGAAAATAAATTTTGCTTTTACAGTGACAATTTAGAGAAAATACGATAAATGCTTCTTTAATTTTATAATTTCACCTATTAAAAAAATAATGAAAATACGACAATTTCTCTTATAGAAATACAAAAATAATAGGTAATATGGGCTTTTTGTTTTTTTATTATTTATAAATATTTTTTTTTATTAAAAACAATCTTATTCTAAATAGATCACTTCCTAAATATGTACATTTGGCTGAGGTGAATTAGGCCAGACCCCATTCAGCGAGTAGTTCTTTTACTTTCAGTGTCTTCTGCATATACACGCGCGCGCGCGTACCCTTGAATCTATTAGCTAATTCCACTGAAACAAATGTACAAAGTGTGCTGTGTTGATGATGATTCATTAGCTGTTTTTTTGACAGTCGTATAGCCAGTCGTATAGCCAGAAATGGATAGGACGGACCTACCGGCGTTTTCCAAGAGGGCGCGAGAATCAGAGATGTAACCATGTCACAAAACCCACTGCGCGATTGACTTTCACGACACATTCCGCGACAGGATAGAGACTGCCAATCCGCCAATCCTAGTGAATCCAAAAAGAATCTCGAAGTCCATGCGCTGTCACCACCACAGCTTTCACGCGCCTAATTCAACGCTGGGTCTCCACTCTCTCCACGCCCAGATTCCGGTATCCCCAGGAACTCAAAAATATCTGGCTCCCATTCCCCCAAGATATTATCCCGTGATGACGTGGCACCTGATTATATGCTGCCACGTGTAAAAGCACGCCATGTGGAGCCTTTTCTTCTCCAGTTCCTGAGGCCTTGCTCCTTCCCATTCTTATTCCCTCCTTCTGCACCCTCGCAACAGATCAGGGAGGGTTTCTTCACCCCACCCCCCCCCCCCAAAAAAAAATTGGTTTTACTCTCTACATTCATTGTATCACTTCTCATGGAACGCAACCGCCGGCTTAGTTATCACCCACACTCTTCCGATCCTGAGGCACTCGATCGTTTCAGTACCGAGTTGACTCGAACAACAAACTCGGCCTCCTCCGCCATCTCTCTGGATACTTACAGAGATATCTCACGTCAATGCGCGGCTCCGTTTCCCGTAACTCTGCTTATACTGGTTTCTCTTTTTTAATTTATTCTTCGCTCCTTGTATAGTTTTCTCAGTTTCATGCTTTCGAAGGAGTGTTACAAGTTCGGAGGGTTGATCTCGGAGTTAATTTGGTTATGCTGTCTAACTCTGTGTATATAAGCGTGTTTTTAGATTAAAGATTGTTCGATCGCTTTTCCATTTTGTTTTATGGCTATCAATTTTGTTCCAGTGTAATTTTGCTTTGATTTGCATGCCACTCAGTGGCGTTATTTTGAGCATGAATCAATCTAGTTTTTGACACTTGTCCGCTGATTTTGTTAAACAATATCTAATGTGTATAAACAGAAAAGGGGATAAATTGAATGTGATGCGGTTCATGAAATGGCTGTTTATGGCCTTAGTAATACTCATTTTCTTTTTGTCCTTCCTCCTGTTCATAGAGCGAATCCGTTAACTGATGCGTTCACGTCTTCAAGGTTTGAAGCTGGACGTTTTGTATTAAACTTGGACCTGGTTTACATGTTTGACTTCCTAAATATGTTCTTAATTATGTATATCTTATCTTAGCAGGCTATCGCCTGTAGCTTGGGGGTGGATCTTCCAAATTCTCATCTCCCTCTTTCTCTTCTTGGATTACTTGTCATGTGTCCGTTCGTTGGAGAATCATCTTGGTGGTATAGGCGAAATAAAGATATACCTTTTCTTAAGTTTATTTTTAATTTTTTTTAAGTACCTTTAATTTACATATGACAAATCACGCATCTAAATTGAAATGTGTAAAGTTCAATTTAGACTTTTCTTGCTGCTTTTTGATTTTTTGTTTGAAAAAGCACCAGCATATTTCATCTGAGCATGTAAAAGACTTGAGGAGTCGGCAGAGGCTTGAGGATAATGGGAAGGATAAGAAAGATCGAGAGAGATGATTTACTTAAATGCATTGACACTTTAGTTCTGGTATCCATTTTCATCTAAATCAATGATGCCATTTTCACTTTTGCATAATTTTTCTTGTCGGGTCATATTCTTTTGTATAACTTATTTTCTATTTGCTTGGTAGTGAATGTTTCATTTTTTTTTTTAACTGCCAATGGAAGTAATAGAGTTTCAGTTCCATGTTGGGAGGGATGATTATCTGTGATTATCAAATGATGATGAACCCTTTCTCTTTTTGACGATCAAGGAATTAATAAACTTCAATTTGGCAATTTTGTAGATGGATGAGTTGACAAGATGGACAGATAGGCAACACAATTTATATCTCAATTCTTTAGAGGCCTCATTTGTGAATGAAATGTCGACGCATTTACATGGCTGTCAGAGTCTCCAAAATAACTTGAATGAAGTAGATAAATCTAGAACTTCACAAAAGTCATGTACTATGTCTGGACAGGTCAGAGATCAGCTCCGAATAGCATCTCTATGATGAGGATGTCTTGAAATTTTATGTTTTTCCCCGTGAAATCATGCCTTATTATTTTTCACTGCTTTCAGTTTATGGACCTGCAAGATGGCTTCTGCAAGAAAGTTATCCATGAAAGAAACGAACCTATGTTAGGGAGCACAGGTGATTCTCATGTTCTAGCGGGAATTCCAACGAGATTCACATCTGTAGAAAGAGGCTGTGCTATGAAAGACTTTGCTGTCCATCACGATGGCTTGCTTTGTGATGAGGGTTACAGAAGAGGGAAATCTATATTCTCTGGCAGATCATCAACAAGTTCAGCAAAGCAACATGATCCATGCTATCCTGAATCAGTTGCCACTGCTGCAGGTAACTCCAAGCTACAGTGGCAAGATGCTCTGTTGCCTTGTTACTGGTACATCGTGGTCTGTTTTTTCTTGAACCTTGTTTCTGTACATGGCTTTTCACCCCTCGCGTGCGCACACACACATGCAGTTGTTCTTTTTAGCTGAAATACACTCATATAGTTTCACTTGGTCTTGCATTGTCAAAATGTATTTTATCAAAGGATGCAAATAGATTATCAACTCGTGGTCAGATTATAGGAGGATTTATTTGGCATGCATCTAACTGGTGCAGCCAGATCATTGGACGGCTGTTAGAGTTCCCAAAAAGGGGTGGCGTTCAATTAATGGGTTGGCTCAGTTTCTGAGGCTGAAATGATATTTGGCCTTGAACCATGGCAGAGAGGAGGCTGCTTACTAGCAGTGAATGCTTATTGATAGGGGTCTCATTTAAATCGCAGGTCTACAATAGACATAATTTTTCTGATGTTTTATTTTGCTATCAATTTATTTGTGTTCTGTCATAATGTATAACTTTAATCACAGGAAAAATATACTTTTTTTCTTTTGTCAGTTGACACTGTTTAGAACTTTAGCAACAAATGACCATACAAACAACCCTTCTTTTTTTTTGGCAAATGGATTATTTATTGCCTATCCTTGTATATTTGTTGTCCCTAAGGAGGCTAGAGCAGGAAATATGCTTTCTAGATGGAGATCGCTATGATTTAATATAGTAAACCTATTTCTCTCACCTTTATGTATTGATGATATATATGCACCACTTAGTCTTGTTCTTCACACTGGATCAAATCTTCACCTAAATAGTTTTTTGAAAATTATTTTTTGCATCCTTATTTAGTTTGGCGTTTGTCAACTTCTTGATGATAGTTTCATGCTCTGTGATTGGTCAAAAGTTGAAACAGTTTATGGTAGTTCAGTTTCAGCATGAAATTTTCACTCAATTAGAAGTGAGGTTGGAAATCACATTTGACGTGCTACGTAAGAGGTTGAAGTCAAATGCTGCTTTTTTCCTCAAGTAGTTTCTTACGTTATGAGTCTTTATATTCATTTTCTTATGATGAGTGGCCGATCCTTTTGTCACCTACATTAACCTATAAATTGCAAGCATTGTGTTTGCAGTAAAATAAAAAATTCCAGACCGAAATTTATCAAGTGGCATGGTGATTAATTGAGCTGAGCTTATAGTGAAACTGTGTGAAAATAAACGCGTTGGTCCGTAGCATTTAATCTTTCCAAATAGGGGAATCAAGCGTAAATTTTTAGAGTATATGTCCTGGATTATCCTTTTCATATCATATATATCAATGCGGTTTCATAAACTTGCTATATGTTTCTTTTTATGCTTTGTCACTGAGGTTTTAAGACTAGTTTTTGGTGATTGCTGTTGCTTAGTGCAAAGAATTGTAAGGTTCCGAAGATTTATGTTTGATCCCATTATGTCTCTCTTCCAAGTTCTCTGTCCCTACAGATAAATGACTTCTACTTTTACAAAATTAAAGTACCTTGGTAGGTTAATTCTTACGTAGCAATGAAGCTTTTGCCATTGCCATGCTGAAGTAAATTTCATGGACCACTAAAATCACATTATTTTGTTTTTTGTTGTTCCTGGGTTGGCGAAAGTCTAATTGAAAATGGTGCACTGATGGACTACTGTTTTCACACTATGATTTACCAGTTGTTTAACTTTCTTCGCGAGAAGGGATTTATTATCTCAACTAAAACAGGTGGCCATTAGATCATGCTTTGGTGAAATGAACAGTGTTTAGTTATTCCTGTAAATTGGTTGTTCATAAGACAAACAGTCTTATGAAACTTATGAAGGTTTAAAAAAATTAGGAGTCCTCGAAGTGAGTGGTTAAAAGCGAAATAGAGTTTTCTTTTCTCTTCTGGTATGTTCTTATACCATCAACCAACAAAAGAGTATAATGTTTTTTGATTAAGAACGCCATTTGAATGTCAATAAGGGTGTTATATCTATATGCTTTAGTTTTGGTAGAGTTCACCGATCAAAACTTCAAGGATGAAGCTCAAGGGGCTCGTTCGAGATAAAAGACCCAATACAGTTCCAGCTGATGATACTTCAAGACACGATCATGTAATGTCTAGTATTTGTTTGTTTGTTTGCAGCCATATCAAATAACTGTCCAATCAGCTACTTACATGTTCAAATTCCTTTTCATTTCAGGTTGTGCCTGTTGAAGAATTTTAATCAAGTAGTAATAATTCATCCCCTTGAATTGCTATCAGAACTCCTAGACAGCTTCCATCTACCAAAATCTTATCTGCATTACTTTCTCAAAAGTAGCTGAGTAGTTGCAACTCAAAATTGAAGGCTTGATGCATATCACAGCAGATGCTGATAGAACCAGAGTGACAATTCCACTTCACTTGGTGCTCTAATTTGAGAAATTCTTTCATTGTTTTCCCTTGAACTTTTTATCACCTAATTGTGCTTCTAATTGATCAACATAGAACAATTGTATGGATAAGCGGAGTTCAAGCTACATGCTGTTATCTTTGACTGCCCATCCTTCTAAGTAGTTCTACAACTCTGGGATTTTGAAATTTGGGCCATTTCAGGTCCTTTGTTTAGCTGTGAGGTTCTTTTGTGTAGGTTGTGGTTGTGGCGTCTTTGTATTACATACTGTGCAGAACTATGGTGCACCATTTCTGTTGTTGGCCCCGTCTCAGGTTAAGAAGCTTTAAAATAGTCTCTCTGTATATTATATATAAATTGAATCAATTACGACTAGCCTTATGAATATTTAGTGTACTTTATTTTATTAACAAATGTAGTCTTATTTACCGTTAATTTAGTCCACGTATCTTTAAGAAATCAAATTTATTTACGAATTTGATTTGAGATTTATCTTGATTTTGGAAATTGCAAGATGTGGCACTGTTTTGCGTTCTTTCTTTTGAATGGCCAATTTGTTCGTTTATTTATTATTTCCAGCAGCGTTGCAGAGAAGAGAATAGTATGTATGAGCTAAGTCCCTTGTTCTTTGTACTGGAAAATTAAATAAAAGTCTATAATTAAAATGACCGATTTGGAATTAATAGAAGTTGCATTTAGGAAGAGAGGTTAATTTTTTACAGTGTGACGAATTAAAATTCCAATCTTGTTGGGAGAGGTGTTGTGAGCAGCAACAAAAAAAAAAAAAAAAGACATCTAGAATTTTAAGATCAAGAATAGGAAGCACTCAAGTTTGGTTACCAAGGCACTCTTTAATTTATGAGGCATTATCAAATGACAAATCAAAAGCAAATCTATTTTATTATTATCATCATTGTTGATGTTTGATGATTATTGAGTATTGAAGTGCGTTAGTTCACCTAAAGATAGCTAATCTCAGCCAAAGTAGATGAAGTATACTTTTGAAGACGGCCTCACTCTATTTCTCATGTGAAGTGCTAACGCCAGTCGATATCAAACCACTCAACCTACTACAACATAGTTTGCCGTTGTCATCTTCCTAGGTTTGCGGTGAAGTATTTTCACTTTATCCATTTCAATAATGATTTCCTATCACTCTTTTTTGATCATATTTACAAGATATACCCATGAGTTTCGATACAAGACTTCTTACAAAATTAAAAAAACAACATTTGTAACTTATTTTTTTAAAAAATACCACTGTCTATTTCCCCTCTCCCCTCCCAATCAAAGAATAATTTTGAAAATATACAAAAATAGTTGATATTGAACTAATACCATTTATGTCCCAAAAAGGAGAAGAAGATATTATTTCATATAATAGAAATGAATAAAAAGGAGTTTTCAGTTGCACAAAAGCAGCGGATGATTGCCATTTATGCCCTTTCTTGTGTTAAACTTGAAACCTAAGCGAAGACGAGAGCCTCCCTGGACAGTCCAGGCTACTTTCGTATGTTGGAACTGGAAGTTTTTTAATTGCTAATAATACCAAGCTTTTTTGTATTTCTTTATTTTTTGGTAAAATCGTTTTCTAATTTGGGAGAATTTCAGTCGAAGACTACTATAAAAACTTAATTTTTTTACTACAGTTATTAATTTATTAATATCACTTACAAATTACATTCATTTATTAGACAATTAATAATATTAATTGTTAATTTGTTAACTTTACTTGTTAACTTATTAATATCAATTATAAATTACAAGACCTATCAGTAGTTTATAATTGATGTTAGCAAATTACAAGATCTGTTAGTGATTTATAATTGATCTTAATAATTAACAAATAAAATTAATAATTTAACAATTGCTATTGCTCCTTATAATTAAAAAAATGATGTTAAATTCTATATAATTATTGATATGTCAACTAATTTACAACTTATATTTATAAATTAACAAATGAAATAAACAAATCTAATAGCTAGTAATTTTGTATAGCAAGTAAATCTTATTTTAATCTTTTTACTATCAAAATTTTTTTGATCTTTTTTTTCTGAACTAAACTGATATTTTAAAATTTTTTAAATTCATAAGAAATTAAGTCTTTCCAATGATCATTAGCTAAAATTCTCCTTTTATATTTCTTATTAAATCATTCATTTAGTAATCACATAACGACTGACTTCTTGGGTGCACATTATGCCACACGCTGTCAAAGTCTTCAATTACAGTTCCTATTCATTCTAATTATCATGGTTTATATTTTTCCATGGATAAGAACATACTTCTATTTTCTACCTCTTTTAAATTTATTTTAAGGAAAAATCAATGAATTGGCCCCGATAATATATACTATCTCCTAACTTCATTTGACCTTAATTTTATTTAAAATTAAAGACAAATAGTTGTAAAAGAGGAAAAATGACAAATAAATTCTTTTAAAATAAAAATAATAATTTAATCTCGCAAAATGTGATAATATTTTCTAAGTATTAAGAGGCCTGATTGTCATTAAATTTTTTAATAAAATAACAAAAATATCCTTTAATTTAAAAAAGTGCAACAAAATTTTTTTATTCATAACTTTAGTTTTGAAATTTACTAAAGTATGCTTTTAATTCTCTAATTTTATATAAAATTTTAATTTAATTTTTTAATTTTGTAAATTATTTTTTTAGTCCCTTAACCGTAATATTGTTAGTTTTAAATAATTATTTTTATATTAATCATTGTTATTTTAAAAAAAGTAAATTTAATATGTTAATATTCAAAAATGCTTTGTCAATATTTAAAAATTTAATGTAAAAATTTATTGTGATAAAACTAATAGTATTAGAATTAAAAAATTAAAAAGATACTTTATAAAATTAAAAAACTAAAATGAAATATTGTATAAAGTTAAAGGATTAAATGTATACTCAAGCCTTTACAATTTTAATTTAGCAAATGACTAAAATGGTTTATGTATTTACAATTTTTTCTCACCATTTTCCTTCACTTTTTTAAATTAAGAGTTATTTTTATTATTTCATTAAAAACTTTAATGATGATTAGGTTCTTTAAAACTTAAAAGGCATTGTCACATTTTATGAAATTAAATTATTATTTTTTTATTTTAGAGAGATTTATTTATCATTCTCTCATAAAAAAATTAAAGACAAATAAAAAAAAGTGACATTCAACACACAGTTAAAAAACAAATCGAACATGAATAAAATTATAAAAAAAAAAGTCTGAGCATCTAAATAAATGGACATACACACGCACACACATATATGTCAGGTTTTTTTTACCTTGAATTTTTTCATTTTTAAAATTATTGAGAGATAATAATGTAGTTAATAAAAAAATTATATCAAAGTACACCGTTTTTATTTTATTTAGAAGTATGTGTGTGTTTTAAAAATAGAAAACATTTATATAACTGTAACAAAATTTTAATACAAAACACAACAGAAAAATTCTTGTATGAAGGCAATGTATCACATTATTCATGCTCTATCATATGAAAATATGATATTTAAATTATATTAAATATAAATTAATTCTATCATTAAATGAAAACATTGAAGGAAAATACAAGAAATTAAATAGGTATTTTATTATAAAAATAAAGTCATTACAAATAATGATACAGAAAATTTTATTTGATTGAATTGATATAATTTTATTGAATGAAATATGAATGATGTGGTGCACCAATCTATACAAAAATTTTTAAAATTTCAAAAAAACTATCTTTAATATTTTATTAGAGATATTTAAATTACATGATTTTCTGTTGAAAAAACATTATATTTTGATGAAATTAAGACACTTGCCACATTGATGTTTTTTTAGTAAAAACTTAAGTTATAATTATATTTATTTTGACCAAAATTATTATTCCCTCCAAACTATATGGGACATTTTTTAAAATGTTAGCTTAGCCTAAAATATAAAATACTCTCTCCGTTAAAAAATGTAAGGCATTTTTAATTAAATTTTATCTCCTAATAAAATAGTTATCTATTTTTAAACTAACCCTAGTTTTTAATATTTATTTTTATTAAATACCTTACAATAAATATAAAGTCACTATCAATAGGGACATATTTGAAAAAAAAAATTATTACATTTTAAAAGATTAAAAATACTTTACATTTTTTAACATTTAACTCTTCAAAAAATATTTTATATTTTTAAATGAAAGGAGTATAGAATAACTTTTATAATTAATTTTTTGACCATACTCATACTTCATTTAGTAGTTTTTTTAAAATGATATATTAAAATTTTAATTATCATTGTCAAAAGTCAAGATACTTATAGATATAATATTTAATGAGAATATAATTAAAATATATATATATATATTTAAATTCAAGTTTTAACCAATAGTTTTTAAGAATTATAAATCAATCAATTATTAATATTTATATATTGTAATTAGGAGAGAATATTATTTATTATATAGATTTTTAAGCATAAGATCACAAATTTCATATCGACGCATGAACTAAAATAATAAATGAATCTTTAGTTCGTCCGAAGGAAAGCAACACACATCAAAAGCGCACAGCCGCACACCTTAGGGTCCGTTTGGATTTCAGTTGGGTATAATAGATTATGAAAATAATTGATTAAGTGGTAGATTTTAATCATAATTGATTATGTTATAACGCAATTTGTTTGGATACTGTTTTTCTAAAATTGATTTTAACAGAATTGAATATATTTGAATAATTTAATCAAAATTAATTTTTACCTATATAAATTACTATATAATTTAATTTTTAAATATCAAATATTAATTTTTTAAATATACAAATTTTAAATTTTATTAAGGAAAAAAAAGGAAAAAGAAGAGAGTTTAATTTATTTTTATTAAATTATGTGCTTTTTTTGTAATTTTTTCCTGGGCTTGTTTTTGTAATTTTCCCCAACATTTTTTACAAACGTTTATCAGGAAGCTGATCGAAGTAGCTTACGGTAAAACGCGCGTATGGGGTCAAAATCGATTTTCACCTTTTCTGACCGTTTGGCTAACTTACTGAAATAATCGATTTTGGAGGGGGAAAATCGATTTTTTCCCCTATCCAAACACACTCTTAGGGTCCGTTTGGATTTCAGTTGGGTATAATAGATTATGAAAATAATTGATTAAGTGGTAGATTTTAATCATAATTGATTATGTTATAACGCAATTTGTTTGGATACTGTTTTTCTAAAATTGATTTTAACAGAATTGAATATATTTGAATAATTTAATCAAAATTAATTTTTACCTATATAAATTACTATATAATTTAATTTTTAAATATCAAATATTAATTTTTTAAATATACAAATTTTAAATTTTATTAAGGAAAAAAAGGAAAAAGAAGAGAGTTTAATTTATTTTTATTAAATTATGTGCTTTTTTTGTAATTTTTTCCTGGGCTTGTTTTTGTAATTTTCCCCAACATTTTTTACAAACGTTTATCAGGAAGCTGATCGAAGTAGCTTACGGTAAAACGCGCGTATGGGGTCAAAATCGATTTTCACCTTTTCTGACCGTTTGGCTAACTTACTGAAATAATCGATTTTGGAGGGGGAAAATCGATTTTTTCCCCTATCCAAACACACTCTTAGACTTTGGATTGAACGTGGAAATCCGGTGTTTCTTCCTTCCTGAGATTCTAAGTCTCCCTTTTCTTCTCTCTGAACCAAAGAAGGAGACCCAGTCTCAGCATTGATCCTTGCTTTCTCCCAACTCTCCCCTTTCGGATGTAAACTAGCCGAAGCTATAACAGCTCTTGTTTCAGTTGCAGATCGCAGTTATTCCTTCAAAGCTTCTCCTTCTTCAAGTCTAGGAATTTTTGGTTGTCTGGAGTATTTGATTTGATTTGATTTGATTTAATGGGTCTATTGTCAAATCATAGAGGCTCAAGAACGGAGACAAACCAGGAAACTTTACCAGTTTCTGCAGCTGGTTTATCGGTGCCGCCCAAGAAGAGATGGTCCAATCTAATGCCTCTGGTTGTGGCCCTTGTGGTCATTGCTGAGATCGCCTTCTTGGGTAAGTTGGATATGGCGAAGAACACTGCTATGCTCGATACTTGGGCCGACTTAATTTACTGGTCTCGTGAAGTCGTCGCAAAAGATGATTTGGGGATAGCTCGTGAAGTCGTCGCAAACGATGGTTTGGGGATAGATATGCTTGGTGGGGTTCGGACTTCAGAATCTGAGAGCTGTGAGGAGTGGTTAGAGAGGGAGGATGCTGTGGCGTATTCAAGGAACTTTACAAAGGACCCTGTTTTGGTCAGTGGAGGTGAACAGGTTTGTTGAATTTTAACTCTTGATTATACTTTCCTTATAGGCGTTCCTAATTTGGAAGATCAGCTAGTTGTTGACGAATTAGTTTAATTATGACTACTCTGATCCCCGATTTATAAGCTCGATAGTGACTTCTTCTTCTCTTCTTGAAGTGTTGAACTTGAATTACTGGGGAACTAGTTTTGAGTTCAAACAAATTTGGTATCTGACTTAACTTGTTATAGCCTGTTAGATATATTTTTTCAGCATGCTTATAGATACAGACCTCTTCACTTTGTTTAAGTTGGTAATGCTAGAGAGTTAATGCACTGTAACAATCTTTTATCATTCTGAGGATGCATATACTGTCTAGTGTTGATAGCTAAAGAAGTAATTGAAAATTAGAATGAACCTCCCTATAATTGTTCACATAACTTTCCTGTTCACTTGTTTGGTGAAAATCACTCTGGAATAATTTCGGGGACTTGAACCATGTGCTTGTCGGCAAATCATTGCTCTACTGATGATTTCTTCCACGTAACATTAGTAAAGTTTTACTGAGACATGAGCTTTTCTTTCATTTGTTTTGAAATCATATGAATTATGTTGTCAAGGGTGGTATTATTAAATCATTTTTCATTACTGGACCTCTTTTTGTATTCACATATGAAATAATGTTGATATATGTAATCATATAAGGTGCTCTTCACTACAGTTTATGATATTTGTCTATTGTTGGGTTAGAGTTTTTCTGTTGATACAGTCTGGCTCTTATTTATTTCTCTTAGTTATCTAACAATTTTTATTTTTCGATTTTTTTTTTATTCTTATAAAATCTATGCACAGGAGTGGAAGTCATGTGCCGTTGGATGCCAGTTTGGGTATAATTCAGGTAACAAACCTGATGCAGCGTTTGGTTCATCTCAACAAGCAGGGACAGCTAGTGTTTTGCGATCTATGGAATCTTCGCAATACTATGCAGAGAACAATATTGCAATGGCAAGACGGTGGGTAAGCACTATCATGAAGCATTTAAGTCCTTAGGTTGAACCATTTGTAGCTTTTATGCTGGGCAACCTGATCTTTCGGTTTTTGTGTTTCTATAGTTCCATGAAGAGTATTGTAGTAGAGAATTTACCTAGTTGAATGCCATGGGATTGTGGATTCAGTGAGTGTGAACATAACCTAGAGGACAAGACTAAGGTGTTGACAGTCTGATAATTTGCAAATTATACAAGTACCAAGTAATGAGTAATGTAGAATAAAGATTATTGTAGTTTTTACTTTCATTCAATTGAATCTCATTTCTTTTTTGTTCCCTATACAAGTGGAGAGGACATTTTACTTCCAAAAAGAAAATGTGTAAGTATCTAACTAATAGTTTAATGTCTTGTGTACTAGGAGGGGATATAACATTGTAATGACAACCAGTCTATCATCTGATGTTCCTGTTGGATACTTCTCTTGGGCTGAGTATGACATTATGGGACCTGTGCAACCCAAAACTGAAAGTGCTCTTGCAGCTGCTTTTATTTCGAATTGTGGTGCTCGAAATTTCCGGTTGCAAGCTCTTGAAGCTCTTGAAAAAGCAAACATCAAGATTGATTCTTATGGTGGTTGCCATAGAAACCGTGATGGAAGAGGTGTGTTGTAATGTTCTGATAATTCAATGCCTGTTCAAATCTTTTGTGCTTCTTTTAATGGAGTTATATTGTCAGAGTTGCAATTGCTTTTTGCTGATGAGTGATGACCCCATCAAGTCTTTCTCAAATTGAAGTCACTGTCTCCTCTATCATAGGATGACTCAAATATTATTTTAGGTTTGAACATCAATTCCACTTTTGTAATTGATGTTCTTATCAATATATTATTTCTGAATATCTTGGGCAAGTCAAGGTGGTCAGGTCTCAAATTTTACACTGTAAAACTAAATCAGCTCTGATGTGCTCACAGATATCATGATTCCAACAAAAGATTTTAAATCTATAAAATGTACTCTGTTTGCTTATCTTTACTGAAGTACTGCATAAAAATATACATTTTCTTATGGTAACTAAAAAAAAAAACAGAGAGAGAGAGAGAATGTCCAATTTGATGTTTAAGCTGTCAGGTTGGCACCATGACTAGGCTCTGAGGCTCTTAAAATTGCATTCCCTGTCTAAATTCTGCATCCATTTAATTTCAGTTTTTCATTCAATATTCTGCTCATCATAAATTGATCTTATTGAACACTTGCTCTGGCATGAAGGCTGTGGTTAGGACTATTGCGGCAGAAGCAAAATAGATTCATTGCAAATATATCGCACATTAAACAGTGCAATTTTTTTTTAAAAGGAAACATTATTAAGGCGAACCAGAAGAAGAAGAATCTCATGTCTCTCCGAAGCATTTTGACAGCGTACTTTTTAAAAGATTTGATAGTTGATTCCCTCCTTGTAGATACCAATGTAAATCACAGTGATTATTCTTGAATCTTGATTATTGAGTTTAAATACAGTAAGGGATAAGGGATTGGCTCATATGGAAAACTTTTAGTTTTAATATTATTTTATTGTTGATAACAACGCCCTTCATTTTATTTCTGTGGCTTTGTTGCTTTGTTGATATTATTTTTAATTACTGCAGTGGACAAAGTGGAAACTCTGAAGCGCTACAAATTTAGCTTGGCATTTGAGAATTCAAATGAGGAGGATTATGTAACTGAAAAATTTTTCCAATCTCTTGTTGCTGGTATTGGAAATAGCATCTACCTTTATACTCTCATTTGCATTTAATAGACATGCGACTTGACTAATGTAACACAACTTTCTTTTTGTGGGCCTTAGAAATACGGAAATGAGGCCCTTGCATTTAATCTGTTCATTTTGCTGTTCTTGGGCCCAACTATTTCTGTATTTCCCTCGGCTGCCAGGATTTTCTGTTTCTGCTATATTATTGACAAATTATATATTTGGGATTGAGCATGCCCTCTTAGATATAACTTGATAATTATTTATGATAAATAGTTGCCTCATAAATTTATTGGATAATATAATTAGTTTCGTTTTATATATATAAAAAATTCTTAGTTAATTGTAGGTAATAAACATGCATAATGCTGCTTTTGTAGTTCATCTCTCTTCAATCCAATCTCATAATGACCTCATTGTTCAATTCTAAGAAATTAGTTTAAACTAGCAGTATGAAGACCCTCTGTGGGTGAAGGGGCTTTGAAAGAGCTATAGTACCTAAATCATTAGAAATTATATTAAGTTTACAGAAAACAAGGGACATGCTGAACATCTAGATGAACATAAAATTCAAGAACTTTTTATCAAGAAAAAGAAAATGCAAGGAACACTAGTTAATTGGTTCAAGATCCTTGAAAATTTTTGAGCATCTTGAAATATCCGCACAACACACTCATGCTTCTTATCTGGAAATTAAGCTCTCTTTCATTGCAGGCTCTGTTCCTGTTGTTGTTGGTGCTCCAAATATTCAGGATTTTGCTCCAGCCCCTGGTTCGCTTTTACATATTAGAGAGCTTGAAGATGCTGAATCAGTTGCCAAGGCCATGAAACACCTGGCAGAGAACCCTGAGGCATATAACCATTCATTGAGGTAAAAACAGTGAAACTTGGGTCTCCTCCTTACCCTGAGAAACCCCACAACAAAACTGCTTCTCACCAACCTTACACCAAAACTGGACTGTATAATCTTATAAAAAAATCAGGAAGTTTGATGTTTTACGTTGTCTCCCAAAGACTTAACCACTAAAATTGAGCTTTATAATGTCAGAGCGGTTGAATATTATCTGGTTCTGAATGAACCATCTTGATTTCATCAGGCTTTAAAAGTTTAACTGGGTGTTGGCATTGTGCTCTTTCTCTAATTAATATAAACACCTAGGTCATCTGTTGATTAGGTGGAAGTATGAGGGCCCATCTGAGTCTTTCAAGGCTCTTGTGGATATGGCAGCAGTACATTCATCTTGCCGCCTTTGCATTCACTTGGCGACAGTGATTAGAGAGAAGGAAGAAAAGAGCCCAGGCTTCAAGAAGCGCCCCTGCAAGTGCACTCGAGGTTCAGAAACAGTATATCACACATATGTGAGAGAAAGGGGAAGGTTTGAGATGGAGTCCGTTTTCTTGAGGTATGCTTCTTACTTTAACCAGTATTCTTCTCTCTCTAAGCCATAATTTATACAAGTTATCATCAGCTATGCTAGACTCAGAACTTTTTCGGTGCTACGGACATAGAGCTCTACCATTTTAGATGTTACCGAATTTTCTGGAATATCATAATGTTAGCTTGCAGAGAATTCATTATTCTGACACGGACTATGCAGGTCAAACAATTTGACTCTAGAAGCTTTGAAGTCTGCTGTGTTACAGAAGTTCACATCCCAGAATCATGTACCCATATGGAAGACAGAAAGGCCAGAAAGCATAAGAGGGGGCAATGAGTTAAAAATTTACAGAATATATCCTGTAGGGTTGACGCAGAGGCAGGCTCTCTATACCTTCAGTTTCAAAGGGAATGCTGATTTTAGAAATCACTTGGAAAGCAATCCTTGTTCCAAGTTTGAAGTCATATTTGTGTAGCATATTCTCATTTTCTCTCTTCCTTTTCTATGAATACCCTAGCGCCACCTTCACCTTCACCTTGAACTTCAGCTTCTCGTCGCAGGCTTTGATATCTTAGAATCACTGATGAAGGGGCTTAGTTATAGCGCACAGAAGAAAATGGAAGGAAAAAAGATTTGTTTGATTTGAATCAGACATATTTTTCTTCTCTCACTTCTCCCACTTATCTCTATGCTAAAGTAGATTTAGGAATGAATCAAGAGGTATGGCTTTAATCTCTTAGGTAGGTAGGTGATAAGAGGGATTCTTACACTTGGAGAGCACCAGGCTACGTTTTTTAAACTCAAGTCGTGCATGATGAGAAGCTATATAGGGAAGACTCTGTTTGATTTTTCTGAATTATAACTATAATCTGGATATGACAGACAGGTCCTGTATATTGTATTTGAGAGTCGCTTGTTTCATACACCTTTTAATATTATTATGTATGTTTTTCCCCGAAACATTAATAAAGTGATTCTATTTTGTTTCAGTACACATTTTCTGCTCGTATTTCTTTCTTTTGTCCCCGAGTTATTTTCAACGACTTCGGAAGAGAAGTTTGTTATTACAGTGCTCTTTTTCTTATGGTTTGTGTTCGATTTTTTAATATATTTTGTCACTGATTAAGTTATCATTAACTACTGCAACAAATAATCAGTTTACAGAAATGAGGTAAAGAGCTCGTTTAAATTTTAATTGGATATAATTAATTATAAAAATAATTAATAAATGTTATGGCACAGTCTGTTTGGATGTTGTTTTTTTAAATTGATTTGAAGACAATTAAAGTTTGAATGATTTAATGAGAATCAATTTAACTGTATGTATTATCATAAAAGATATTAATTTTCAAAATTAAATTATTAATAAAGTTGTATATAATATTATTAAATTTGTTAAACTTTATTAAAGAAGTAAAGTATATTATTTAAACCAATATATTTGATTAATTATAAAAATTTAAATTATATTAATACTAACAATTAATTTCTTATTTTAGTCCCAATAAATTGTTTCCTGTTTTAATTTTTTAGAACTTCATGCTATATAATCTCCATTGGCCGCCCTCATTCTCTCTCTTTTTCTTTCTCTGCATTTTGTTCTATCATTTTCTCCCACTGTACCTGTCAAGGGAGGGAGAATAATTGAATCAAAAAAGCGGTCTCACAGAGCTTATCCCAAAACGTGGTTCAAGCTAGAATAATCAATTAAGAATCAATGGTAGTGTTTGGTATTTTTCACCCAAATCAAGATTTCCCCCCAAAAAAAATCAAGTTATTTTGCAATCCAAACAGGCTGAAATACTACAAGAGGTGTGGAACATAGAAAGTGCTTATATTGTTATACAATAATATTTGAGATTTGAGGTTAAGACTCGAATAATTAGATATATGACTACTTGAGGAGATTTATAAATCAGACAACCTGAACTGAACCATATGATTATGCTAATATTTATTTAAAAATTAAAATAATAATGATGATAATAAAGGACAAATGAAGACAAGGCTTGAGAGTTTATTAATAGGTGTCAAGTGGCACATGAATCGAATGCCCTTTACAGGAGGGACGCCCAAAATGTAATATGACAAAGAAAGCAGCGTTTTTGTCTACACCCAAAAAAAGGTCAAATATAATAATTGTTCTCATTGTTGTTGTTGTTGTTATTATTTATAATTTACAGATCAGAGAAGTCAAGTTGTTCACGTCCTTGCCAGTGCCCTTAGAGGCTAAGGGGCAACAAGTAACCACAAAAAGTCAAAGACAAATAAAGAATAAAGAAATGAAATAAAACTTTTGCCGCGTCCGTATTTGGTGAAGAACTGAAGATGTCACATAAGTAAATGTGATCCTCTTTGCTTCGTATTTTATTGTATCTGACTTCTATTTTTGATGTTACTGATTACAAAGTACTTTTTATGTTCAGAATTAAAGGAATCTGAACCAAATCATGCGTGCCAGCCGCTAGATCCAATTTCATCTCAAAAGGCTTTGCCCTCCACTCTCTCTCTTTAGCTTATCAACCAAACAGATAGTGTCTAATAAATTTTGTTAAAATTATACAATTTCTTTTTGGCTCATAGAAAGTAAACTAGATGTAATGTTTTGTTTTGGTAAGATATATAATATACAATTTTTATTTTTTTCACTGTACTCTTGGCATAATATTGTCATCTAACTAGGATAAGTAAATAAATAGATACGCAAGTAACGTTTTGTATATTTGATTACAACTATGTGAAGAATTCACATTATAAAGTTGTGTAATTTAAGCATGCTTATATGCTGTAATACAAAGTACTTACACTTTTTAAATATTATAAAATATATTTTTTTATTGCTTACAGATATACTCAGAAACAATTTTATTTAAAGTATAATCGTATAATAAATATGAGAATCTTTTTTAATAAGAATTTAAACTTCAATATATCAAAAAAAACTAACTCCTTCAATTATACCTAACCCTTATTTGTACACACACATAGTAATTAAAAGTCAAATTTTTGGTTCTATTGCTTGACTGTGAACCTTGAAATTTGATATTTTTTATTTTTTATTCATTTATCCAAACTCCAGAGGTTTCAAATTAAAACGTTACATAAGATGGGAGTTGCTCTAATTATTATATAGAAATTACATCGTGTGTAGTGGTGTTGAGGTAGAGTTTTCATCTGGAAAAGTCTTATATATTGAAGTTTATATTATAAGATATATTTTTTGATAAAAATATAGTACTCTTTTCGTCTTAAATTATAAAACATTTTTAGACAAAATTTTACATATCAATAAAACTCATTAAATACATCTTATAATTTACTTTTTTAAGACAAAAATATAAACGTTTAAAAATGCCATTCATTTAATACTTCATTTGATGAAATAATATTGAAGAGAGAGAATATATGGGAAGGGTAATATTAAAAAATTATTATTAATGAAATCTTATTTTTATCAAAGTGTCTTATATTATGAGACGTTAAATTTTTTTTAAAAGTGTCTTATAATTCAGACGGAGGGAGTACAAGATATTCATTTACAACCAAATCACAACATGTCACAAGTTTTTTTTTATTCCATGATTTATCAACTAGCTAACTTTATTTTTAATAATAATAATAATGTGATTTTTTAAAAATTTTGAAAAATTTTCATATTAATTTGAATGAAAGGCAAAATACTCCTTTTGATCTAAAATATAAGTAGTTTTTTTAAATACTCATACTAATAATTTTTTTATTTTCATAACAATATATATCATTTTTTTAATCTTAATTCTAATTACCAATGCACTTGATGATGAATAAGAGTTAAATTTATACAAAAATTTAAATTAATAAATAAAGGGGTAAAATGAAAAAAAAATTGCATGTACTAAATTGTTTATATTTTAAATTAAAATTAACTAAAGAAAAATATTTATATTTTGAATTAAAAGGAGTATATTAATTATATAAAAGCAAGTATTTAAATATTTTTCTTTTTTCTTTTTTTATAAACACAAAATTTAGATGAGATTGATTTCGAGAATTTATCAGAATTAAAGTATACTTTTATATTCAAAAAATATTTATAAAAATAATTGTAAATTATTTATCAACAAAATCATTACATTGACATACAGGATTTTATCCCACGACATAATGGATTAAAAAGAGTGCCATAAGGCAAGGAATCTGTTTTGATGATAAATAAATAGAATTCCAGCCTCGCTTGCCGCTTGCTATGCCAGGTTTTTACGGCTGAACTAGTTTTAGGCGGCATAAAGTGATTTAGTTAAAATATTAATTAATTATTCAATAAAATTAAAACTAATTATATTCAATGTCTCTTTTATTTTAAACTGCCAACATATATATATATATATATATATATAAACCAGTATCCTAACACGATATTATATAATTATAATAAATAATTTTCAAAGTGATTTATTACCATGACTTGTCCAATTGTGCAAAACTCAAAACACGAAGAATTGACGGAAATGATTCTAAAAAGCGAAAAATAATGGCAAGATAACGATGAAGTAAGGCGGCAAATCTGTGGTCGAACCACAAAACAAGGACGACCCTTAGCCTCAACGAAAGGTCCTTTGATCTCTCAAGGAAACTCTTGCTCACTCCTAAGGTCCCTCCTCTCTTCCAACCTCTCATCCCTACAAAGATGGCCTCTCTTCTCTCTCTCACCAGCTTCTGTTCCACACACACTCTGCTTTCAGATGGCTTCTTCTCTCTCTGTTCGTTTTCTCTCTCCTTCCCTTTCTTCTCGCCCCAAGCCGACATGGGTGGTCTCTGCAACTCCGGCAACGGCCCAGGTTGCTTCTTCGCCGGAAGTGGACGCGTCGAGGTTGGAGCCTCGAGTGCAGGAACAAGATGGGTACTGGGTTTTGAAGGAGAAGTTCAGGCAGGGCCTCAATCCTCAAGAGAAGGTCAAGCTCGAGAAAGAACCCATGAAGCTCTTCATGGAAGGTGGAATCGAAGAGTTGGCCAAGTTGTCTCTTGAGGAGATTGAGAGCTCTAAGATCACGAAGGACGATATTGATGTCAGGCTCAAATGGCTTGGCCTCTTCCACAGGAGAAAGCATCAGTGTAAGTTTCACTAATTGATTCTCAACCTTTGAGGAAATACTATATTATAGTTGATTGTTACGTGTTCGAGCTTAAGTTCCCGAGGTAAATTTTTATCCATACATGGCCAATGACCAATGTTAGATTAACGAGACTAAATTTTCCAAATGGGGTAGCAAGGACACAACTTTTTTTCCCATCTGTATTTAAAAATCTAATTTCTTCCACCTCTTTTCTTTCAAGTTAGTGCGTCATTCTTTAAAATTCTCTCAATGTTATCCTTGAATCTCATTTAGGCTCACAAGTTAACGTAACAAGATTGATTGCTGAGTTGAATTACGTGGCACCAGTTAACTCATTCCACGCTGTCCATGCATGATATCAATCTATGGTTATGAGATTAGGCCTGTGTTTTCCTTTTGCCTTTTAGGGGGCGTGGTATGGATTTTATAAGGATAGTGGTTCTTAAATTAGTCCTTATCTATTGTGGATTCAAGTATGTGCCAGGTATGAATCAAAAAATGTGAGTCAGCTTCTGTTATATTCTAGATTTTTTTAGGTATACTAACAAAGTTGAAATCATTTTCATGAGTGGGAATTAAAATTGAAAATGTATGTACCATATGTCAGGGATTAAAATAGAAATTTTCCTCTAAAACAAGTAATAGTTTATCTTTCTGACTGAGTCAAATATTTCCATTTCAAAATCAGATGGTAGATTCATGATGAGGCTGAAACTTCCGAATGGGGTAACAACAAGCGCCCAGACAAGGTACTTGGCAAGTGTGATAAGGAAGTATGGGAAAGAAGGGTGTGCTGATGTGACAACAAGGCAGAATTGGCAGATACGAGGTGTGGTGCTTCCTGATGTCCCAGAAATCTTCAAAGGCCTCGCAGATGTTGGCTTGACAAGTCTCCA